ACCAGAAAAAGGTTGTTTTGTGTTCTAGAGACACAAAAATTCCTCTCAGGAGCTGGTCTCTTGCCTCACCTCAGGGAACAGTATAACCATGTAAAAGGATGAAGTGCAAATGACATTTTAACAAAATTTAAAATGAGTACCACAAACACAGGAAATAATGTCCCTATGGGAAATGTGATTATTCTGAAATAAAATGCAGAAGCAGAAACAGCCCCTGAAAGTCAGTTGACAACTTGGTTATTGTTGAGTTTGAGATTGAGAAATTGAAAAGAAAATTCATTGGTGATACAATAAGATATTTATCAGTATGAAATCCTTCTCATAAAAACGGCTTCTGTGACATTTGTCTTCCCTGCAAATGGTGATAAATGTTGGATTGAAAATAAACAAATCATTAGAGCGTTGCTATAGCTAAGTGTGGGACGCGGGTGGCGCTGTGGGTTAAACCACAGAGCCTAGGACTTGCTGATTGAAAGATCGGCGGTTCGAATCCCCGCGATGGGGTGAGCTCCTGTTGTTCGGTCCCAGCTCCTGCCAACCTAGCAGTTCAAAAGCACCCCAAAGTGCAAGTAGATAAATAGGGATCGCTCCCCAGCGGAAGGTAATTGGCGTTTTCGTGTGCTGCGCTGGTTCACCAGTAGCGGCTTAGTCACGCTGGCCACGTGACCCGGAAGCTGTCTGCAGACAAACGCCGGCTCCCGGCCTCTTGAGCGAGATGAGCGCGCAACCCTAGAGTTGGTCATGACTGGATCTGATGGTCAGGGGTACCTTTACCTATAGCTAAGTGTAACTTGCTTTGAACTTTACAACTTCCCATGTGGGCTTGATGCTGACCTGCAACTTGTGAATGCGTAGTAAAGTGTTATGTGCACAGGATCTTGTTTTGGTAGCATTTGTTTGTGGGTGTCTATCAATGAATTGTCACAATATACTTTGATGATGTACTTTGATCACAGGTCATTTGCCAGAAGACTTTTTCCTATTCAGTTTACAGTAAACATAACCATAAGTTTCACACTTGCCCATGAAACATTAGCTCTTTGTATATATTGCCGCAGGTGGATTTTAAAAACATTCATACTTTTAGAGAAAACACTTACCCAAGTTACAGATAAATTCTTGCGGTTGCAAAACTGTTACATTAGTAACATATTTTAAAATGCAATAAAAAGAAAACATTTAAACTGTTGTTGTTGTTTAGTCGTTTAGTCGTGTCCGACTCTTCGTGACCCCATGGACCAGAGCACGCCAGGCACCTCTGTCCTCCACTACCTCCCGCAGTTTGGTCAAACTCATGCTGGTAACCTCGAAAACACTATCCAACCATCTCGTCCTCTGTCGCCCCCTTCTCCTTGTGCCCTCCATCTTTCCCAGCATCAGGGTCTTCTCCAGGGAGTCTTCTCTTCTCATGAGGTGGCCAAAGTACTGGAGCCTCAGCTTCACGATCTGTCCTTCCAGTGAGCACTCAGGACTGATTTCCTTAAGAATGGATGCGTTTGATCTTCTTGCAGTCCATGGGACTCTCAAGAGTCTCCTCCAGCACCATAATTCAAAAGAATCAATTCTTCGGCGATCAGCCTTCTTTATGGTCCAGCTCTCACTTCCATACATCACTACTGGGAAAACCATGGCTTTAACTATACGGACCTTTGTTGGCAAGGTGATGTCTCTACCTCTCAAGATGCTGTCTAGGCCTGTCATTGCCCTTCTCCCAAGAAGCAGGCGTCTTTTAATTTCGTGGCTGCTGTCACCATCTGCAGTGATCATGGAGCCCAAGAAAGTAAAATCTCTCACTGCCTCCATTTCTTCCCCTTCTATTTGCCAGGAGGTGATGGGACCAGTGGCCATGATCTTCGTTTTTTTGATGTTGAGCTTCAGACCATATTTTGCGCTCTCCTCTTTCACCCTCATTAAAAGGTTCTTTAATTCCTCCTCACTTTCTGCCATCAAGGTTGTGTCATCTGCATATCTGAGGTTGTTGATATTTCTTCCGGCAATCTTAATTCCAGCTTGGGATTCATCCAGCCCAGCCTTTCGCATGATGTATTCTGCATACAAATTAAATAAGCAGGGAGACAAAATGCAGCCTTGTCGTACTCCTTTCCCAATTTTGAACCAATCAGTTGTTCCATATCCAGTTCTAACTGTAGCTTTCTCCATAATCCAGCGCATGTTTGCAATTTGGTCTCTGGTTCCTCTGCCTCTTCTAAATCCAGCTTGCACTTCTGGGAGTTCTCGATCCACATACTGCTTGAGCCTTCCTTGTAGAATTTTAAGCATAACCTTGCTAGCGTGTGAAATGAGTGCAATTGTGCGGTAGTTGGAGCATTCTTTGGCACTGCCTTTCTTTGGGATTGGGATGTAGACTGATCTTCTCCAATCTTCTGGCTACTGCTGAGTTTTCCAAATTTGCTGGCATATTGAGTGTAGCACCTTAACAGCATCATCTTTTAAAATTTTAAATAGTTCAGCTGGAATACCATCACTTCCACTGGCCTTGTTATTTGCAGTGCTTTCTAAGGCCCATTTGACTTCACTTTCCAGGATGTCTGGCTCAAGGTCAGCAACCACACTACCTGGGGTGTACGAGACATCCATATCCTTCTGGTATAATTCCTCTGTGTATTCTTGCCACCTCTTCTTGATGTCTTCTGCTTCTGTTAGGTCCTTACCACTTTTGTCCTTTATTATGGTAATCTTTGTACGAAATGTTCCTTTCATATCTCCAATTTTCTTGAACAGATCTCTGGTTCTTCCCATTCTGTTGTTTTCCTCTATTTGTTTGCATTGCTCGTTTAAGAAGGCCTTCCTGTCTCTCCTTGCTTTTCTTTGGAAATCTGCATTCAATTTCCTGTATCTTTCACTATCTCCCTCACATTTTGCTTGCCTTCTCTCCTCCGCTATTTGTAAGGCCTCGTTGGACAGCCACTTTGCTTTCTTGCATTTCCTTTTCATTGGGATGGTTTTCGTTGCTGCCTCCTGTACAATGTTACGAGCCTCCATCCATAGTTCTTCAGGCACTCTGTCCACCAAATCTAAATCCTTAAACCTGTTCCTCACTTCCACTGTGTATTCATAAGGGATTTGACTTAGATTGTATCTTACTGGCCCAGTGGTTTTTCCTACTTTCTTCAGTTTAAGCTTGAATTTTGCTATAAGAAGCTGATGATCTGAGCCACAGTCAGCTCCAGGTCTTGTTTTTGCTGACTGTATAGAGCTTCTCCATCTTTGGCTGCAGAGAATATAATCAATCTGATTTCGATGCTGCCCATCTGGTGATGTCCATGTGTAGAGTCGTCTCTTGTGTTGTTGGAAAAGAGTGTTTGTGATGACCAGCTTGTTCTCTTGGCAGAACTCTATTAGCCTTTGCCCTGCTTCGTTTTGAACTCCAAGGCCAAACTTGCCAGTTGTTCCTTTTATCTCTTGACTCCCTACTTTAGCATTCCAATCCCCTATAATGAGAAGAACATCCTTCTTTGGTGTCACTTCTATAAGGTCTTGTAAGTCTTCATAGAATTGGTCAATTTCAGTTTCTTCAGCGCCAGTAGTTGGTGCATAAACTTGGATTACTGTGATGTTAAAAGGTCTGCCTTGGATTCGTATCGAGATCATTCTATCATTTTTGAGATTGCATCCCAGTACAGCTTTCGCCACTCTTTTGTTGACTATGAGGGCCACTCCATTTCTTTTACGGGTTTCTTGCCCACAGTAGTAGATGTGATGGTCATCCGAACTGAATTCGCCCATTCCCGTCCATTTTAGTTCACTGATGCCCAGGATGTCAATATTTATTCTTGCCATCTCATTTTTGACCACCTCCAACTTACCCAGGTTCATGGTTCTTACATTCCAGGTTCCTATGCAATATTTTTCTTTACAGCATTGGACTTTCCTTTCGCTTCCAGGCATATCCGCAACTGAGCGTCCTTTCGGCTTTGGCCCAGCCGCTTCATCAGCTCTGGATCTACTTGTACTTGCCCTCCGCTCTTCCCCAGTAGCATGTTGGACGCCTTCCGACCTGAGGGGCTCATCTTCCAGCGTCATAACTTTTATATGCCTGTTGTCTTTGTCCATGGAGTTTTCTTGGCAGGATACTGGAGTGGCTTGCCGGTTCCTCCTCCAGGTGGATCACGTTTGGTCAAAACTTTCCACTATGACTTGTTCATCTTGTGTGCCCTGCTCGGCGTAGTTCATAGCTTCTCTGAGTTCTTCAAGCCCCTTCGCCACGGCAAGGCAGTGATCCATGAAGGGGAACATTTAAACTACCATTTGTATATTTCTTGATTATATTTGTAGGGGAGATCAACACACACATATTTTAATGTTAATTGGACTTACAACTAATATAAACTGAAACACAAAATATTAGGTAAAGAAGCTTACAAATGTTACATTGGTCACTATGGAATTACCCATAGGGTTTTCTTCAAGCAGGACAGCTATGCCAACCACCGGTGTATACTTTAGCATGTGTTAAGGCATTCCAAATTTTAACCTTTTGTCCTCTGCAAAGCCAAGAGTCTCCAGTGAAATGCAACAAGCAAAGTTTGTTTCTTTAGTTGTGCTTTCAGCATTGTTTCCATGATTTGTTGTTTCAAGGCCTAATGTGTTGGTGGTTCACTATTTACAGTGGTACCTCGGGTTAAGTACTTAATTTGTTCCGGAGGTTCCGTTCTTAACCTGAAACTGTTCTTAACCTGAAGCACCACTTTAGCTAATGGGGCCTCCTGCTGCTGCCACACCACCACAGCACGATTTCTGTTGTCATCCTGAAGCAAAGTTCTTAACCTGAGGTAATATTTCTGGGTTAGCGGAGTCTGTAACCTGAAGCGTATGTAACCTGAAGCGTATGTAACCCGAGGTACCACTGTATTACTGAATAAGTTTTACTAAGGCTTTTGCACATGAGAAACATTATATGAAATATTAACAGAATAAATAGTGTTTGGATTAAGAACACAATAGCTGCTTTAATGGATATTTAATGGATTTTTGCTTAGGAAGAAAATGACTCCATTAATGTATGCAGCCCGTGAAGGTCATCCTCAAGTTGTAACTCTTCTTGCTGCTCATGGATCAGAAATAAATGCCCAGGATGAACGTGGTTACACAGTAAGTGAGCTTTATTCTAAACAATAAGATGGGCTTTAATTATTTCTGAAATGTGCTTAATCTTGCGTCATTCACAGATTTTCTTTCACCCCCCTTGTTCTCCATTTGTTTTTGGAGGAGGAGAAGGAAAAATACTTTACTAAAATGAGGGGGTACCCCTGACACAATCAGATTACACATACATTTAAGTTTTTTCTCAGTTATGAAGAGTTCACGTGTAGCCAAAGAAGGGATATACACATATAACATAAACCACATATAAATAGATTTTCTTACTTTGTTGCCTTTTCTGAAGTAATAAGGTGTGTTTTTTTTATTGGACCCTGGCAACTCCATGCTGACACTTCAGTCTATTGATTTCAGGAATTAAAACAGTTTCATTATGCAGATGCTGATGCTGGATTGGGGTGAATTATATAATCTAGCTGAAGAACAGTATAGTAAAATTCAGCTAATCTAGCTGAATTCCATGTAAGGAAGAACACATACTGGTGTGAATGTTAACTTTTGCAATCGCAGCTCTGCTCATGGAGTTGGATTTTCTCATCTCTTTTCCTGCCAGTTTCCTATGGCTCCTGAAAATCCATCCCATTTCAAGGATTGAAGACCCTCCGGAATAGCTTGAGGTGTGGTACAAGGGACTGTAGCTGGAAGGGGGAATCAGTCATGTTTGACTAAGAACTTGTACAGGACAACTCTAGATGCAAGCCACAGAGCTTTCACTTATTTGTTTGGAAGAGTAGAAGAGAACAAACAAACAAACAAGCAGTATGTTAAGCTTGAATAGCAGGCAGGATTCAACCGAATGAGACATTGATTCAGTGGTAATTTAAGTTGCAATTGCTTTCCTTATCCAGTTTTAAAGTCCATACTACCTAATAAAAACAACTTAATGCCTTGTTACAGGCATTAACGTGGGCAGCACGCCAAGGTCATAAAAAAGTAGTCTTCAAGTTGCTCGAATTGGGAGCTGATAAATCAATACAGACCAAAGATGGACTGACAGCAGGAGAGATTGCAAAGAGCAACAAGCATTCAGAGGTACTATTTTGTGTATGGTGTCAAGACTTGAGTTGAAATGCTTGTATTCATAGGTTGCTTAGCTACATTAGAGGCATAGTAAACATTAGAGCTGATATAATAATTCAGTGATAAAAAGCCTTCTAGTCTGCGAAGAGTTAAAGCTATTCATGTTGGTTCATGTGCCACAAAGCCAGGAAGTTGGAAACCAAGGCTGATGCCTTAACATGTGTGCTCCGAGATCAGCAACAATATTATGCAATATTGTACATTGTGGTTGCTTACGCCTTGCTCTCTCTGGATCCACACATTTTCCTGGTCTTTCAGACCCCATTCCAGATGGGGACCACGGGGTGCCTGGGGCTAACAAAAAATTCCCACCCCGCCATGATCCTGCAGTTTGTTTCCTATTCTGAATTTGGTACGGCAACATGAAGAGATTTCTACCACCAGGCATTCTGCAAGAAATCTAGGGTTGCTTTGTAACCTGAGATGCTGGGTGATAAAATATGCTGGGTGCTATGGTATTGCAATCGAAAAGAATTGTCAAGTGGAAGGGTTAAACAGCCTCTTCCAGCACACAACTTTGTTTGCTTCACATTTCACTTTCCCAACACTACTAAACAACAGAAAAAAAATGTGAGGGCTCATGTTTGTGAGCTCAGTTGTCTGCCTTGATGTTCTGTGTAAGTCCTTGTGATTACCTTTTCGGGGCAGAGGGAGGAGTGACATTGGCCTACAAATGCACTGACATATATGCAATGAATTAATTCCTACCTGTTCAGATTCAATATGTTCATCACCACCACACTGCCAAAATTGCACCTTTTCTTGATGCTTCTGTATCTATGCAACGGGATTATTTTCAAAACCTTTTCTCAGTTATATGTGCACATCACCTCACACTCAACATTCTGCACTGCACTCTAGAATGTTACGACAGTTACATGCAGCAAATTTTAAAGTGAAGTTTATGTTGAGACTTGAGCTCCCTTCCCTTCAGTGTTCTGTCGGGCACACAGTCAGCATGCACTCTTGTTGCCTCTCTTACTATGTAACGCTCTTATGATTTTCTGTTTAAAAAGATGGTTCGATTCTTAGGTTCATAGAATTGTAGAATTGGAAGGGACCTCAGACCTCTGCAATGCAGTATAATACAGGGTGCGTCTTTTAAAAGAGGCCCCTTGGAACATGTGTACTCTGTATCCACAGAGCCTCTTTTAAAGGACTCAGCCTATATAAAAGTGGCAAGGTCTGAACCATGCCCCTTTAATTTAATATTAGTATGGCGCAAGTAGTCATACAGTGCATGTAGTTGCATTTCAGCAACATCATCTGTAAGACAGACCTTGCTATTTCTTCTGCCTTCTGTTTTTTAAACATGCTCTGCCACTTAGTAATAATTTATGAAATTGCTGTATATCTTCATTCAGATTCATGCTTGAGTAATATTTCTACCTGTGACAATCTGAATTTATTTCTACTGATGTGCTAATTTGGAAAAAGAAACTAGGGTCAACTGCCACAACACAAAGAGGAACAAGGATTAATACTCAAAACATACTGTACACACTTGATAGAAAAGTGACTTTCTCCATTTAAAGTAAAATAAGGCAGCTGAGGGACAGCACACATCATTGTCAGTAAAAAAGACTTAAGAGCAAGCAAAAGGAGATCAGGCATGGGGATGAGGGAAGAAGCAGTCACGGAGATCAGGCAGGTGGGGTGTGTGCAGATCAGGTGTGGGGATGAGGGAAAGAGCAGCCGCTGAGATAGGATGGGTGAGGGGATGGGAGGAAGCAGACTCACCACTGCATGGTTTGGGTGGGAGGGGTTGGGGGGGTGCATCAAGCCACTGTCAGCAGGACAGCCAGTGGCGGCAGCCAACAAAGATGTACGTCCCCTGCTGGCTGAAAAGAGTTGCTCTGTCTCAGTGTTAGGGGAGCGTAGTGCCATGGGGTCTTGAAGTGAGGGCAATCAGCTGCCCTGTTCTCTGTCACCGTGATGGGAAGGCAGCTCCTTGTACAGTGGTACCCCGCAAGACGAATGCCTCGCTAAACGAAAAACCCGCAAGACGAAAGGGTTTTCCGATTTTTAGAGGCTTCGCAAGACGAATTTCCCTATGGGCTTGCTTCGCAAGACGAAAGCCCATAGGGAAATCTCCTGGGACAGCGGGGAAGCGCAGCGCACCTTCTCCTCTGTTCCCAGACCTGTCCTGAAGGCTTGTGGTGGGAGGTCCGGGAACAGAGGAGAAGGCGCGCAGCGCTTCTCCTCTGTTCCCGGGGCTTGCGGTGGGAGGAGGGTTTTTCCTCCCCACCGCCAACATTCAGAACAGCCTTCTGAATGTTGGCGGTGGGGAGGAAAGCCCTCCTCCCACCGCAAGCCTTCAGGACAGGTCCGGGAACAGAGGGGAAGGCGCGCAGCGCTTCTCCTCTGTTCCCGGACCTGTTTTGAAGACTTGCGGTGGGAGGAAGGTTTTCCTCCCCACCGCCAACATTCAGAAGGCTGTTCTGAAGGCTGGCGGTGGGAAGAAAAGCCCTTCTCCCCCGCCAGCCTTCAGAAGAGTTCCCGGAGGGCTGCCTAGGCTGCGGATAGCAGCATGCTGCCCCACGCAAGGGGCGCTCTTAAGCAGAGCGCCCCTCGCGCGGGGCAGACATTCGCAGCTTGGGGAGCCCTGCAGGACTTCCCCGCAGGGCTCTCCAAGCTGCAGATAGCAGCCTGCTGCCCCACACGAGGGGCGCTCTTAAGCAGAGCGCCCCTTGTGCGGGACAGACACCTGCAGCTTGGGGAGCCCTGCAGGACTTCCCCGCAGGGCTCTCCAAGCTGCGGATAGCAGCCTGCTGCCCCGCACGAGGGGCGCTCTTAAGCAGAGCGCCCCTCGCGCGGGGCAGACACCTGCAGCTTGGGGAGCCCTGCAGGAGTTCCCCACAGGGCTCTCCAAGCTGCGGATAGCAGCCTGCTGCCCCACACAAGGGGCGCTGTTAAGCAGAGCGCCCTTCGCGCGGGGCAGACATTCGCAGCTTGGGGAGCCCTGCAGGACTTCCCCGCAGGGCTCTCCAAGCTGCAGATAGCAGCCTGCTGCCCCTATCCGCGGCTTGCGGATAGCAGCCTGCTACCCCTATCCGCAGCTTGCAGAGCCCTGCGGGGAAGTCCTGCAGGGCTCCCCAAGCTGTGAATGTCTGCCCCGCGCGAGGGGCGCTCTGCTAAAGAGCGCGCCTCACGCGGGGCAGCAGGCTGCTATCCGCAGCTTGGAGAGCCCTGCGGGGAACTCCTGCAGGGCTCCCCAAGCTGTGAATGTCTGCCCCGCGCGAGGGGCGCTCTGCTAAAGAGCGCCCCTCGTGCGGGGCAGCAGGCTGCTATCCGCAGCTTGGAGAGCCCTGCGGGGAACTCCTGCAGGGCTCCCAAAGCTGCAGGTGTCTGCCCCGCGCGAGGGGCGCTCTGCTTAAGAGCGCCCCTCGTGCGGGGCAGCAGGCTGCTATCCGCAGCTTGGAGAGCCCTGCGGGGAAGTCCTGCAGGGCTCCCCAAGCTGCAGATTTCTGCCTCGCACCGGGCAGCAGGCTGCTATCCGCAGCCTAGGCAGCCCTCCGGGAACTCTTCTGAAGGCTGGCGGCGGGAGAAGGGCTTTTCTTCCCACCGCCAGCCTTCAGAAGGCTGTTCTGAAGGCTGGCGGTGGGGAGAAAAGTCCTTCTCCCCCCGCCAGCCTTCAGAAGAGGTCTGGGGACAGACTGTCCCTGGACCTGGTCTGAAGGCGGTCTCCATAGGAACGCATTAATTGATTTTCAATGCATTCCTATGGGAAACCGTGCTTCGCAAGACGAAAAACTCGCAAGAAGAAAAAACTTGCGGAACGAATTAATTTCGTCTTGCGAGGCACCACTGTAATTAGCCGCCCTGTTTTCCCTCAGCATGAGGGAAGGCAGCTCAGATTAGCAGCATTATCACGGAGATCATCGTGTGATATCAGCGGTGGCTTGAAATTGGCTGCCCTGTTCCCCTTCACATGAGGAGCAATGCATTGCTGTGTATTGCCATGTCAAAATCATCATTGCGGTGTAATTTCAAAACTGATTTTGGCTAATATATTGAAAAATTGCACAGCGCTAAGACACCATAAAATTTGTGATATTACCATGCAAAAATGACAAAAATTTAGTTGGGGAGGCAAGGGATGGGACTGTGGACCCCAGGTGCGTTCTGTGGACCCCCAGGAGTCCCCAGACCCCTAATTGGGAACCACTGGAGTCTAACATGATAGCGGAGTAGAACATTTTCTTCATATTCTCACTATTTTATAGCTGAATTTCCAGTTGGACTTAACAGTGTAACAGACCTATTAGTAGTAGTTACAGGTAGGTAGTCGTGTTGGTCTGCTGTAGTCGAAACAAAATAAAATAAATAAAGTAAAACAAAAAAATTCCTTCCAGTAGCACCTTAGAGACACACTAAGTTAGTTATTGGCATGAGCTTTTGTATCTGAAGAAGTGTGCATGCACACGAAAGCTCATACCAGTAACTAACTTAGTTGGCCTCTAAGGTGCTACTGGAAGGATTTTATTTATTTGTTTTGTTTAGACCTATTAGTAAACATGAAAAACAATCTGTCCCTTGATATAATATTAACAATTTGTTTTTAATTATTCTCTTAGCTTTTTAGCTTACTTTCATTGAGTAAACACCCTTTCCAAGAAAGATTCAACAACCTGACCAAAGAAGAGGCTATTCACAAACTTCTGAAAGCCATTCCCAATACATTTAAAAACCAGAAAACCAGGTAAAAAATAGTGAATACTAATGTATTTAACTTTGAAAGTATTCTGCAATGAAAACTTTGTCCATTGGACAGTTTAAACACAGTACAGTGCACTGTACTGTTTAAACACTTAATTCAGTTCCCTTTAAAAGAACTTCCATTTTAAACGGATACTAAAATTCAAGCTCCAATCTGTTAGAGCTGCTCTGTTGTTAGAGAGAAGTTCCAGCAGTTACATAGCCATTTGTATGCCCATAAAATGTTTCAGGGTCATAGATGTACACTGTTGGTGGGATGGGTGTCTTGGGCGGGGAGGGGGAGAGGAATGATTGATTCAAGGGCAAGCTTGGCTCTACAAGATCCAAGGCCCTTTCATTCCCCCAACACCCCAACACCTTCCCCTCTCAAAAAGAACAAAAATCATTGGAAACTGCATAGCTGTTGTCAATTGGGAGGGAAATGTGGCGGGAAATTAGAATGTAGGTGATGGGAAACCACCCTAGCTGCTTTGAAGTGGCAGGGCATAGATTGCCACCATGGATTTTGTTTCTTCTGCTGTCCTTCCCAAGAGTGCTCTGCTAGTTGAACTTTTTTATCTGTAGGATACAGTAAGGTATTTGTGTATTGGACTTAGAGTTCACTCATTCCTTTGCCTCTAAGCAGCTATAAAAACCAGCTGATCAGGAAAATATTTTAATTTTTTTAGCAGAAATATAAATAATAACATGTATTTGCCTTTTAAAACTTCTGGTGCAATTAACAAGACCCATTGCATGAAGGATGCGCAAAGGGGTTTTTTTGCCTCTGCATTATTATACTGGAACTGAATTAATATTTTTAATCAATATTTGAAAGGCAGCAACAGAATATGTGTCATTTTATTTCTTAGATTTGCTCCAGTTATTTATACTTTTATAATAATCAACCAATATATTTATAGTTCTTATTCAGCCTTTGGTGACCTGGAGGTGTTTTTACAAGGTCTTGAGCTTGAACATTTAACAGAGGTCCTGAAGGTAAGCTTTGAAAGCTGTGAAAACATATATGGATAATGGCCTTGGATCTAATGGCGTCACGGGGCCACTGGATTGGGTACTGACTCCAGTTTGATTGTGAGGCAGGAGCAAGGAAAATGGGCAATTAGTTTTTTGCTCCTGCTTGTCCAAAGCAGTCACGTCAACTTTAGCTCTCATTCTTCCTACTTCTACTCAGGGTAGTTTCTTGCATTTTATTAAACCTATGAGATATGGGGTGGTGTCCAGTTGGGTTGTGTCTCCCTGACAGAAGGTACCAGTCAACAGAATGAAAAAGGAGGCAATTTTTGGCTATTTTCCCCACCCACTTGCTCCCTCTTCAGAGCAGGTTTGGGGTGGGGGAGAGTGAGAGGTTGCAAGGGGAGGAAGAAATAGCCAAAAAAGTCTTCCTCTCTTTTGTCCTATTTTGGAGAATGTGCATTTAGGCTTCAGTACTACACCCACTTGGGGCGGGTGGCGCTGTGGGTAAAAGCCTCAGCGCCTAGGGCTTGCCGATCGAAAGGTCGGCGGTTCGAATCCCCGCGGCGGGGTGCGCTCCCGTTGCTCGGTCCCAGCGCCTGCCAACCTAGCAGTTCCAAAGCACCCCCGGGTGCAAGTAGATAAATAGGGACCGCTTACTGGCGGGAAGGTAAACGGCGTTTCCGTGTGCTGCGCTGGTGCTGGCTCGCCAGATGCAGCTTTGTCACGCTGGCCACGTGACCCGGAAGTGTCTCCGGACAGCGCTGGCCCCCGGCTTCTTGAGTGAGATGGGCGCACAACCCTAGAGTCTGGCAAGACTGGCCCGTACGGGCAGGGGTACCTTTACTTTTACCTTTACTACACCCACTTGAGGCACATTGAACTTATGACTGAAAAGATACGTTGTAGGATTGTGCAGAATATTAACCTAGATTTGTGCTTTATGTTTTATCCACTGTAAATATCCTTAAAAGGTTTTGATATTTTGTTGGGTTTATTTACCTGGGTGAAGGCATATGGGAGGGTGGATTATTACATTCTGATTTACAGTGTTTCCTCTAATAAAATATTTTTGTTTCATACAGGAGGGAGAAATTGGTTTAAGGGAGCTTTGGACCATGGAAAAGAAGGATTTTACACAGGTTGGCTTAATACAGATGTTTCTAATTTTTCACATCACACAACATTTTTAATATTGATGTACATTTTAATTCGTGAGAATAGTGATGGTGCAGAAACTGCCTTCTTGTCTGATGGACCCACTATTGGTCTCATCTACACAATCTGCCGGAGCCTGTCTTCTCATGTAGGGGGAATTCCTAACTCACCTAGGGTTTGAGACCCATCAGCTTCCCTCATCTGGTTTAGGTGGCCAGTCGAAGCCACTTCAGGGGTGTGGCTGCTGTCGCATGTTAGCAGCTTGTAGGAGCCACAGGTGAGAGCTGAGTGCAGGGTAGGGACCAAAGCTACCCCAGAAGGAGAACGATGTGGTCCCCCCACTAGAGGTACTACCCTTCCCCTTATACCCCATACACCCCAAGGGAAGTGGGGGCATATGAGGCTTGTCCACCTGAGAAGGTAGCCCATCTAGGAGAAGGAAAACTCTGATCCTAAACCTCCGCTGTCTTGTGTGATACCTTTGGGTTTAGAAAAATTCTAAGGAGTAAACCCTACCCAAATCTGTAGTGGAGTCCCTAAGAAGGTTGGATGGTGTCTTGTATGCTTCTTTCCGGCAACACCTGCAGCCAAGCTGGTGCTTTCCTTTGGACCACATCAGCAAGGCTAGTAGGAAGGTCATTGCCTGGGCAGCCCAGGGCCTCCATACACACTGCCTAGGCTTGCACCCCAGGGAGGTCACTTCAGTGCTGCTAATGCAGTCATTTGACCTCACCCCCTCCATTGTCTCTCGGGGCAGATGGATGCCACATCAAATGTGATGGCATTCGTGCAAGGAGGTACTTTGAATTCCTTTTTTGTGTTCCCTTTAGGGAAGAGATCATCTTGTCTACATGGTGTAACATAAATCAGTACAGAGGTACCTTGGGTTACATACGCTTCAGGTTACATACGCTTCAGGTTACAGACTCCGCTAACCCAGAAATAGTGCTTTAGGTTAAGAACTTTGCTTCAGGATGAGAACAGAAATCGTGCTCCGGCGGTCTGGCGGCAGCAGGAGGCCCCATTAGCTAAAGTGGTGCTTCAGGTTAAGAACAGACCTCCAGAACGAATTACCGTATTTTCCCCTCTATAACACGCAGATTTTTTCTCCTAAAAAGGAAGGGGAAATGTCTGTGCGTGTTATTGAGCGAATGTGTGGTCCCTGGAGCCGAAAAATCAGGCAAAAATCAAATCGCTTGTCACTGAGAAGGGAAACCTGAAAAGAGGAAGTTGCTGCTTTCCTGCATTCTGCCTCAGGGTCTTACTGCCCACCCTCTTGTGCTTCATTGCTGTGTTTGCTCAAATGGAACAAAGAGCAGGCAAATCCCCTCCCCACCAGGCAAGCAGAGGGGAAAGCAGAGCGTCCTTCCTTCTAATTCCTCCCCGTGCTCTGGTGCTGCTGCTGCTGCTGCTGCTCGCAGGCAGCCAGAAAACATGCAGGTGGGAGAGAGAGAGGGCTGGCTTGGGTGGGGGGACTTTTGCCTTTCTTTCCTCCCTTCCGTTAAATTCCTCTCCTGCATTCTTAGCCAGCTGCTTCTCTGCACACCCCTCTCGTGCTCCTTGTCCCTTCTGTGTTTTTCCTTCCCTCCCCACTTAAAATGTAGTTACAAAGCATGGATCCTCAGGATCTTTGCATTGGGTCACCTCAAATTCACCATCAGATCACATAGCATGTCCATGGCTACAGCCTGCCCACCAAAAATCACTCACCCACTGTTGCCTGGGGCTGCAATGGTGCAAAAACGTGGTTACAAAGCATGGATCCACATGGATCCTTAGGATCTTTGCTTTGGGTCACCCCAAACTCACCATCAGATCACATAGCATGTCCATGGCTACAGCCTGCACCAAAAAAATCACGCACCCACTGTTGCCTGGGGCCGCAATGGTGCAAAAACATGGTTACGAAGCACAGATCCACAGGGATTCTCAGGATGTTTGCATTGGGTCACCCCAAATTCACCATCAGATCACATGTCTGTGGCCACAGCATGAAGCAAAAAAATGATACATCCACTGTTTCATTCAGAACCCCCCCCCTTGTTTTCCTCCTCTAAAAACGATGTGCGTGTTATGGTCAGGTGCGTGTTATAGAGCGAAAAATACGGTAAGTACTTAACCCGAGGTACCACTGTATTAGCACATAACTATGTGCTTAAGTGTTCATTTGTAAACAATTTTATAACTACAAGGTTATAAAGCTCTCTGTTAATTGTTTGGAAATAATATGAGCTGAATAGTGAATATGAATTCAACCAAGGAATTTCAGGTGTTACCTGGAAAAGAGGCTTATGGAGCAATCCAACCTCCCATTGACAAATTTGGTGTGGAGGGGTTGTATTAGTCAGACACTAATGTCACTGCAAATAAAGAGCTCGCCTTCTGCCTGCCAAACATACAAGGGGGTAGAAGTGCTGTAGGTAGGATCCTCAGCAGCAGAAAGCCACCAAATAGGGTGTTCTGAGGGGGAGTGGCTAGACCAGTCCTGCTGCTACATCGTGTGACTTCATCAGGGCTAACGTGGGCCCGAATGCTGTACCAGCCGCAGGCATGCCCACCTACTCACTATGGCCTCTGTGCACAGCAGGGCTGCAGGTGTATTGGTCCTGTCTCCGGCCAGCCAAATCCACCAACCAGGCACAAAGAGGGTTTGGATTGCAGTGCCTTTTACGAAAAGATTCACCCCCCCCCAAAAAATCAAATAACTTCATCAAAAGACCAAGCAGATGCTTCCTGTTTTGTGTAGTAGTTCAGTTTTTTATTTGGAAATTAGTTGAAGTTTTAACTTACAGCTTGAAATTACAAATAAATATGTTGGAAGATATGGATTTGCCCTATATGTATAATATTTATTGAGCCTAGCTTGGTGAGATTGTAATACAGTTAGAGGATGCTCAGCCCTAAGATGCTGAAACTTGTTCTTCCATGATGTAGCCTTCATGGACTTAATACCAAGCTTTTGGAGTTTTAAAAATCCTGTTTTATTCTAAATTTCTCTGTTTAGATATTTTGATTTTTTTTTGTTTTGTTTTAGCTTGGAATTACAAATACCAGAGATCAGCAGAAAATCTTAGGTGCTGCTAAAGAAGTGCAGATAGAAAAAGTAAAGTTGGAAGAGTTGTCCAGCGTGGTGAATTTGGAATTCAGGTAAAGCAGTTTGATGGAAATACAAACACACACACACTCTTTCGTAGTAGTACAGGCGACAAGCGTGTGTTGTGTTCCAGAACCCTGCTCACATAAGTGAAAATTGTGTAAGTGGGGAGCACTCTCTAAACACCCTTTAAATGCCCTCTATGTAGCATTCTGTCCAATTCAGATAGTAAATACCGTACAAAAAATATCCATAACTAGAATTGAAGCTCTGGGGCCGGCAGGAGGCTGGGCTGGAGGACATGCGGGAAAGCAGTTGCTGCTGCTGTGATACCGCACACACCAGCTGTTATTTGGGGAGGCTGCGCAGCCTGAACAAAGCCTCACTGCACCTTCAGTCTCTTCTCTGCCCTCACTGAAGTCCTCTTCAGACTCTGGAGAGGGTCTCCTTGCGAGCCATGAAGACTCTTTAGCTCTCTCCCTCCATTTCTTGGTGTGGATTACATTATTTAATTCTTTCCCAGCACTGTGCAAATGTGCAGTCACACACATGGGTGTGTGTGTGCCTGTAGTTGATTGGTTTTATTTGTCTGTGGCACCACGGCCATTACAAAACATACAGCTGGGACAAATAACTACAGTGGTACCTCAGGTTACATACGCTTCAGGTTACACACTCCACTAAGCCAGAAATAGTGCTTCAGGTTAAGAACTTTGCTTCAGGATAAGAACAGAATTCGGGCTCCGGTGGCGTGGCGGCAGCAGGAGGCCCCATTAGCTAAAGTGGTGCTTCAGGTTAAGAACAGTTTCAGGTTAAGTACGGACCTCCGAAGCGAATTAAGTACTTAACCCGAGGTACCACTGGACATACACAAATGAGTGGTGAATCTGAACTCCTGCTGGGATAGACACAAGGTGAGCGAAATATAGGTGGGTGGAAACACATCAAAATCCCTTCTGTGGGTGTGGGAAATGTAATATTACAGCCCCCCAGATTTGTACAGTTGTAAAGTTCCCCAGTGGCAACCATAGAATGATGAGTTTGGTTATATAGTTATTCCTCATTTTAAGAGCAAGTCTACTGTTTGCATACCTGTTTCACCTTCTGTTTTTAAAATTACTACGTGTTAGAGCAGGGATGAGGAGCCTCAGGCCCAGTAACTCTGTCCAGCCCTCGGGATTCTCTCTTTGGGAAGAGGCTGTGCCCATCTGGTTACCTTCCTTTTGCTCAGGCCATGTCCCTAACCAGCCTTGCTGTGATCACACCTCATATGCTTTTTTTAAAATAAGTTTTTATTGATTTTCTTTTCCATCATTACAAACACCTCATGTGCTTTTTGGCTGGCTTGAATGCATCCCTGAACTGTGAGAGATGTGTGGGTTTAGGATGTAGAGGGTTTTTTGTGTGTATAGAAACCTCTGGCTTGTGTGGCTAGAATATAACCTACTGTACAAAGGCTAAGAGTTATGCCCACTTTTTGCCTCTGGCTATACCCACTGCCGGCATGTGGCCCCCAGAGGCACCTATGAGGGAGTGTGGCCCTTGGGCTAAAAAGTGTTTCCCATCCCTGAAATAGAGTATTAACTGTTTCTGTATACCTGAGTATGTAACTATTGTCTCACTTCATTTTTACAGTGGTGACGAGTTTCTTTGTTTCCTTGTGAAACTAAACAAACAGTGCATGCACCTTACAGCTGCTGTGCAAAGTGCGGTTAATCAGTTCCCTACAGATGCTCACAAGGTGAGCATATGGTACTGTTAATATTTTTTTATATATAAAGTAGCAAACAAATGCTTACAGTATATGTGGCCGAAATGGGTCTAAAGTATATTGAAGGTCCATTTTAGATTTAAACCTGACATAATTATAAAAGGTAAAGGTACCCCTGCCCGTACGGGCCAGTCTTGACAGACTCTAGGGTTGTGCGCTCATCTCACTCTATAGGCCAGGAGCCAGCGCTGTCCGCAGACACTTCCGGGTCACGTGGCCAGCGTGACAAGCTGCATCTGGCGAGCCAGCACAGCACACAGAACGCCGTTTACCTTCCCGCTGGTAAGCGGTCCCTATTTATCTACTTGCACCCGGGGGTGCTTTCGAACTGCTAGGTTGGCAGGCGCTGGGACCGAACGACGGGAGCGCACCCCGCTGCGGGGATTTGAACCGCCGACCATGCGATCGGCAAGTCCTAGGCGCTGAGGTTTTACCCACAGCGCCAACAAGCCCTCTTCTGTTTAAAGCAATGAAACACAGTTAGAGAAGCAACTTTCTCTTTTTACGTTTGGTGTTGGAGGTATCCCGCAGTGGGTCAATGCCCTTTCATCTAGCCCATAATACGAAGTTCTAATACTTAACTCCAAGAGTCGCAGCGCTCGTGGGTCAGCACACTTACTGTATTTGTCTCATCCTAGTTAAAGAGCTTCACCTGCTGCTTGACTTCCATTCTCACTTTAAATTATTCCTTAGAGGAGCCAGCATGCTAAACCAACCCATATAACAACTTTCCCTTACTGGAATCGGCATAGTCATTTGAACAGCTGAGGACTATAACACTGAGACTCATATCCCTAAAGATAGGGTTCCTGGTGGCCATCAAATCAGCCAGAAGGGTATTGGAATTCACCTTTCCCAGCTATGCAACTGAACCCTTCTTTTATCTCCTAGATCAGGCATCCCCAACCTGCAGCCCTCTAGATGTTTGGCCTACAACTCCCATGATCCCTAGCTGACAGGACCAGTGGTCAGGGATGGTGGGAATTGTAGTCCAAAACATCTGGAGGGCTGAAGGTTGGGGATGCCTGTCCTAGATAAAGGCCCTATTTCATAGGTTTCAGGAGTTAAGCTCCTGTTCCAAGTCTTCCCATTCCTCTGAGCAAGCTGGACTTGTATAGAGGGCGTATTAAACGTATTGTTTCTTTCAGACACTGCAACCTTATGTATTTTCACCCCAAATCTCTAAGAGAAAAGAGTTGCCCGTACATAACACCTGCCAACACTGCTACATAACATAGCTCACTTCTCCAGAGCAACAGGGACATCCGCAGCTCTTTCCGCAATCACCTCTGTCAGAGGTATGTCAGCCCACCACAGTGGTTCACAGCTAGTACATTGAGTGAGCAATACAAAATACTGTAGACTGCACCATAGCAGACTTTGGGAGGAGAGTGCTCCAGCATGTTCTCCCAGCTTCCTAAATCAGCTGCTTCCCCCTTAGAATGCAGCTAGAATCAACCAAATGTTTAATATCTCCTATGACAAACATAGAATGGAGCATTGGCTACTCACCAAGATGGTTCTTTCTGGTTTGACATGGAAGTATCCAAGATTAGTCTATGTTCTCAGTGGCTGATATAAACAAAACACGACACTGGTATTGGGCCTAACCTGGCACTATTTTTAACACATTCATAGGGCCAACATTGATTTACCCACTGCAGTTTGCCGCATTAGACTTATTTTGAGGGTGACTTGATTCCTTGTCTTCCTGGGCCAGTGCAAAGATATTACTCCACACTAAGCCATTGCTGGAATACCTCTGTACACATCAGAGAACTCTTGCAGGGCACAACCAATTTTCCATTCCATATTTGTTCAAAGAATTGTTGATTTACTGTTTTGCCATTCTAACAGACAGAGGGTATTAAGATATGTTCGCAACGATACCAGTAAACAACCCCCCGCCGAAAACCAACTAACAAAAAACATGCTTTGTGTAGCTGATCAGAATTGAGTTTAGTGGTGTTGTAAAAACGCTGCTCTAGTTGTGTATAAACTACATTTCAGATAAGTAATGTTATATTTCTTGTTAGTTGGTTCTTGAATGGAGTCCACCTCAGAAGCTTGCTAATGTTTGTGGAAAGCTTGTTTCCAGTGCTGAAGATCTGACTGGAGAAGCTACCAAACTGAAAAGCCTCATGGAAAAGGTATGCATGTTGTAAGACATATAATGCATTCAAAACCATTACCAATGGGCAACTTTTCTAGTACATGTTGATTCACGCAGTGAGATAAACCATAAGACTGCCATTGAATAGTATATTTGAATTGTAGATCAAATGTTTGTCAATCCCAATCATCAGTATAGGGGGGGAATAGTGGAAAGGGATAGAAATGAGGGTCATTATTAAATATAATCGGCTTATTTTGAAATCTGGAAGTTTCACAAACCTGTGCTCTGAATTGCTGGAGGGCTGCTCATAGCAAAAGTCCATTATTGTATAGTTCCCGTTGTGTGCCTTGAATTGATAATTTGGTTTATATTTGATAGGTCCCTTAAAGCACAAATTGTTAATTACATGAGGGTTTAATCAGCAAAATTTTAATGCTGTTTGGAGGGGGACTTTTGAAAGCTTTCTCTTTCGGTTTTAGTTCATTGTAGTTTGTCCTGCTATTGGTTGTGACAAATTGCCTATTAGTGTTTAAACTCAAATTTCCAACAAGCCAAAACATGATTCTTGAAGCAAGTTGGTGTGTAGGTGGGTAGAAGTGGAAGCATGTGGAAGTTGGAAGCTAAGTGCATCTTCTTACCCCTCCATCCTGCCAGGTTGTTTTGTTTTTTCATTTGAGAATTGAGACTGAGAAAGTTGTTCCTATGGCTCCAGTATCTGCAGAGCAAACTTAAAACCATCTAAAGAGCAGATGGAACTGCATTAGCATGATAGTAGTTTAGATGGCATGGCCAGATCCCACAAGAAGGGAAGAAATAGTCTGGTTACTGAGTGGTTCTTTTTGCCTGGACTCTGGCATTTTGTGTATTGTATGTTTGCTTTATTCTCTCTTGGTTGTTTGTAATTATTTAATTTGCTGTAATTATCGGAGGTGATTTTGTTTTATTGTTTTGTTATCAAGTAGCAACATGTGAAAATGGTTTGTGAAGTTTTGTTAATTCGTTTTTAGTTGTACTTTGAATTGTTACATAATGGCAAGGTTGTAATTTTGCCATTACTACGGGTTGTAAATTTCTGAGTACAGCAGAGCTTTCCAAACTTTTCATGTTGGTGACACACTTTTTAGATGTGCATCATTTCGCAGCACAGTTTTACTAGCAAATTGGAGGTTAAACTAACCCTTCCAGCCCTGGGAGCAGCGTGGGGAGTGTTCATGCGACACACCTACACACTGCAACTGACATACTAATGTGTCGTCACACGGTTTGGAAAGCTCTGGAGTACAGTAATGTAGGAATACAATATTCAAATAAAAAATGAATTGGTTGTAACCACAATTCTGGGTCCAAACAACATAGCAAACTGTGGGGCAAGCGAGACCCAAGAGTAAAAGTCAAGAGTAATCTTCTGGCTGCTCAAGGGAGGGGAACACCCAAACCCAAGGCTCACTGCATCTTGGGTTTGTTGCAGTAAGTTATTGTTTAGATTTGAGAGCAGCCTCTGCATATATATGCATTGCTATTGTTTAAACCACATTCTTAGAAGTATAAATTTCTAAATTTAAAGTATAGTGTACTGTGGTGTAGACATCTAACATTCTCTTTTCACCCAACTCCATGTATTTTATCAGCTGCATGATGGACAGAAAGATGATCATTGCCGAATACAACCTTGTGTGGAAAAACGCTGGTGGAAGAAGCCTTTTGTTCAAATAGTAGCAGTAACGTTGGTTGGGTCTGGTTGTGCCATCTTTATCATGAAGTTAACTTTAAGGAAGAGCTGAGCTGGGAGTCATACATAAAACAACTTTTAAATATATTTTCCAACATCTTGAATTACAGCTAAATCTGTTATTTGTATTAACTTTCATGGTTTCAGGAGTGTCAGTTTTATAATAGTAAAAGCATTGTAATTTCCATATATTTGCTTCATTGTTGTTGTTTTTTTAAATTATAGAATCTCTTCTCCTTGGCTCCATTTCTGTCTCCTTTTCAGATACCAATCAGGAAACTATGCTCTTCTTTATTGCCAGTTTATAGCATGTTCTCCTTCACAGGACAGCCAGAGATGTGCAGCAAGGGGTTCCCTTAACAGGGATAGATAACCTGCTGGCTGCAAGCAACTCCTATTTTGTGAATGATGAGAGAGACCGTTGTTGCTTTGGCCACCAGGCAGCCAGTTCAGTGAGGAGTTCTCAAAGGGGGCAGTTTCCCAACTGGTCCCCATATCATGGGTGCTGGCTGGCATTATAGGAGATCCCTCCAAAGGAGGTTGCAGCAATGTTGGGTGGAGTTGCTGGAACTCCCATGCACAATTTCTGTGTTTTCTCTTGCTGAGGGACGTTATAACAGACTCTGTTATTAATTATTTAATTTGCTGTAATTTTCGGAGGTGATTTTGTTTTATTGTTTTGTTACCAAGTGGCAACATGTGAAATGGTTTGTGAAGTTTTGCTAATTCGTTTTTAGTTGTACTTTGAATTGTTACATAATGGCAAGGCTGTAATTTTGCCATTACTATGGGTTGTAAATTTCTGAGTACAGCAGAGCTTTCCAAACTTTTCATGTTGGTGACACACTTTTTAGATGTGCATCATTTCGCAGCACAGTAATTCAGTTTTACTAGCAAATGGACTGCCATGAGAAGAAGGCTATGTCTGTGGCGTGCTGAACTCTCCCTGAGTGTTGGCCAAAGTGGAATTGGAGAGACATGGTAGGCAGGAAGGTGGAAATGGTCTCTTCCTTCTCTGAAACACCTCAATGAGTGCCAAAAGTAAGGTGCTTCATGTGAGGGGCTCAAAGAGGCAGCCTTGCTACTCTGTCTCATGTCCATTCCTTTAGCAGGAGGCATTCAGAGTGGAGGACCAAAGAGTATTAGGGTCTATCACTATCTTTAAAAAAAAAATAGCCTATAGACCTATAAGCTGCTCCCAGGCAATAGCTCAGGAGCAGAAAAGCTACCCAGCTCTTCTTTAGAAGGCAGAGCCCAAACATGGAAGGTGCCTTCTCTCCAGAAAGGACATCCCTCCCTCCCCCGCTTAATTGGCTGTCTTCTTTCTGTTCCACTGTCTTGCTGACCAAGAACCAATTGGCTTCTGTCCTTTGTAAATTTAATTTATTTTTATGTCAAATAAATCTTGGTTCTTATATGTGCCTATTTGGATTCAATTTATTTTTGTAAAAGCATGGTTTTAATTAAAAAGTACTGCATATTCCTAAATTGGACTTGGTAATCCTCAGGCTCCCTTCCAACTCTTTGATATGATATTACATACACACCCTAAATCCTGATTTCTAAGTAGCATTTTTCCTCTATTGAAATACTTATTTGGACCTGAAGGGTTTGTACTGGGTGCTAGATCAGAGAGACAGTGGAGATTCTGCTGGTAGCCCATCCACCTTGGTGCCGTCACATAGAAGGCAGTCTCCATCATGGTACGGAAAACCTCAGAATATTCCTTCTTTGGGATGTCATTTCCCATGCAGAAGCTGCCTTGAGAATTTCCTGTCATGATAGTCATGGGGCTGGCTCAGAAGTCACAGAGCCCAACACACATATCAGGTCATACCTTAGATCTGCTTTTTTCAACTGGTTGGTGGTTCAGTAGGAGGTTGCAGTGGAAAATATCCTGTTGTCTGTCATGGGCAGACCATGAGCAAGGTTTGAAATGCTGATGACAGTGCCACCTGCAGCAACGTAGGACTCACTGAGCCCTTGGGACTTAGGGAATCTGATGAATTAATTAATGCTGTGTGGGATCTTCTGACGGACGTGGCTGCTGCTTGTCTTGGAGCCCTGGTACTGCTGGGGAACAGTGAGATAAAGAAGGCTACCTGCACAGTTGCTCCTGAATACCCTCTCTGGAGCAGTGGACCTCAGCCCTGTGGTTCATGGAAGAGCTCCTACTGGCTAAAGTGGACCCAGTGACAACTGGAATGCGGTCTCGTACGGAATACAACAGAAAGCAGGTAAGAACACAGTACCATGCCTTTTGTCCTAAAACAGTTTTACAGGGTGATGAAGGAGCTAGTAGGATCATCTCCAAAAAGATATAGTATTGAGCCCTTGTGACAAATGTGCATAGGGCAAAATCTCCGTTGGGCTTTACTTGAAACATCCAGCGATGTTAGCCTGGATGATGGGGAACCTCCAGCCCATGGCAAACTTTGACCCTGCACAGGTCACAATTTGTCCCTCGTCACCATCTGCCAACCCCCCAAGAAAACCACACCTTATACAATGCCAGGTGTGAGGCAGGTAGGTACACAGCTGGTTTGGCTGCATAACTTGAGTTTTCCACTGGGAATTGGATTGCTCAGCTGTCCCTGCAGAAACCAGGGGTGGTGGTGAGTTAAAGTTTGCTGGTTCAACTACACAACAGAGTTTCCCCATGGGGAGCTCCTATTGTGCAGCCATTTGATTGAGAATGCAGCTTTGCCAGCCCTGTGCCCAGCCAACTGATGGTCAGGAATTTGAGAAATGCTGTGCAGTAATTGGCCAGAGGCAAGCACGAAATGTGAAAGTGGAGCCAAATACTGCCTTGTCTCATCTGGTGGACTGAAGCACTCCCAAAAAGCTTTAGGGATTGGTTTTCGGTTTGATCCCCATAAAATGCTTTCAGTGTCAGAAACCCCTTCTTTCATCTCCACTTTATGAAGTTCCTGACATTCAATGCACGTAAGAAGGGATCCAAACTTATTCAAGCAACAGACTTGGGAAACAGCTGCCTTCATATGGGCAGCTAAAACCTTACCTTTTTGGATCCTCTCATGTTTCTGCTATGTGCAAATGTACAAAATAAACAAGGTATGTTTTACATTTGTATTAGAGGCCATTTGGGAGAAAAGCTGGTTTAAGCCTCAGGTATGAAAAACTTCCCAATGTATCTGTTAGCCAGTCTCATGCCTGGTGTGATGTGCTTTTTTTACATAGCTATGGAGCTGCCTTGTTTCACTAAATTCAAGTATGCCAACATATTTTTATGTGTAAGTAAAACAGTATGACAGATTTAGTTTAGGTTTAGCTTATGTATCTTTATAAACCTTGCTTTTCTATTTAAAAAAAAGTGCCATAAAATAAAATGGCATTTAAAATTTGCTAAATCTGCCTCAATTAAAGAAAAGAATGTGCTGCAGTTGTGCCAAGGGACTGGTATACAAAAAGAGGCCTGTGCCTCATCATGTACGTTTGTCACTTTGAGACAACCTTTGGTGTTTGTTGCCTTCAAATAAACAAATGGAGTGGTTGGACAGTGTCAACCTTTCGGCTCTCTCTTGTAAATAACCCTAAACCACAGAGCCTAGGGCTTGCCAATCAGAAGGTTGGTGGTTCGAATCCGGCCACATGACCTGGAAGCTGTACACCGGCTCCCTCAGCCAGTAAAGCGAGATGAGCGCTGCAACCCCAGAGTCATCTGCGACTGGACTTAATGGTCAGGGGTACCTTTACCTTTTATCCAACTTCCAGTCCTCTTGCTGAAAGAAATATTTCACAGTGAATGTGGCTATCACATACGTAATTATTAATTTCTTGCGGGAGCGGCCTTTAATTATAGGCATCTCGTTTGTGCTTTTTCTTCTCCAAGGTGCTTGTTTTATTCCATATCATCTTCATTCACACTTTGGCCAATCCATCCCCCTTCCCCTCACAATTCACCAATACCACCCCTCCACTTACAGTTCACCAGTCTCCCCTTCATCCTCATCACCTACCCACCCCGCACTGATGTAGGAAGGAAAGAGGGGGAAAATACGCCATTTAAAATGTTGAGGCTGAAATTGTGGCAGGTTGAGGTGCAGAGCTACAGTGGTGCAGAGTGGTTGCTGGGAAGTTTCCAAGCCTGTCCTGGCTGTTCCCTGCTGCTTGCCTGGGCTGCCCGGCTCTGTTCAGTCACCTGCCTGGGCCACCTACCTGGTCTGTTGTCATGCTGCACTGACAACAATCTTACAAGTCCTATTATATGCTAAGAAATGCTGAGATGGTAAAACGTACCCCCTCCCCAAAAGAGGTAGGTGGAATGCATTTCACTTTGGCAGACCTGAGACAACCAGCTCTTCATAGTAGTATGAAATCTGTTAAAGCAAGCCAGGCATCTATCCGCAAACTCCTTGGATATCTCGTACTGAGGCTAATTGCCATAAGTGCATTTTAATGAACCTTTTTCTTCTCAAGAAAGTGCATTATGCGCTTCAAGTAGTGTGTAGAGCAACGCCTTTCATGTTAATTACATTAAGGCATTTTGGATTTCTTTGCGGTTTATCTGGTCTGTGGATCAACCCTCAGCCACTTCCTGATGATAAACAAAAATTGCAACATTGGGGGCTTCTAGGGATGGAAGCTGTGCTCATTAAAGGAAACAAACCTGCCAGGAAAATCAAGTCCATCACCTGTAGATTTTGGATCCTTGCAGTGCTTTGACAGACCTCATGTTCTCCTTTACCAGCATGGATATATCCTTAAAGATTAGTGAGGATGTGTAGCAGGGCCTTCTCAGAGATGCCTGACAATAGATAGTTGTGCCCTTATTTCAGCAGCCATTTTGAGGTCACAGCCAGTGGATATTTAAATAACTGCACCTTTGTCCTGCACTTGGTGTTTCTTTTTTCCTTTTTAACGTGTTGCCAATTTGTAATATTTTGTAGACACTTTATTTTGTCATCCACTCTGAAAGCCCTTTTAAGTTATGGGATGTGATATACATTTAAATAGAACAAATTTAACATTGGCTAACAGAGATGTGGAACAAGACTTTAAAGTCCAAATTATCTTTGAAAATGGTGGGTTAGATCCAGAAATCAATAGGACTAAAGTGCAACTAACAGTCTGAATCTATCCCCATAGGTACAGTGTAGACTTATGCATGTCTACTCAGAAGTTAACTCCATGGAGTTGAATGGTACTTGCTCCCAAATAAGTGAGTACAGAATTGCCATCTTAAAAATGTAGACTAAACATTGACCCTTGATGCACATATTAATATTTTGTATGTGAGTATGCACATGAAATACCCAAAATATTTTAGAATTATGTTTGGTAAATGGTTAACTGGTGTCCAGTTTTAACTACTTGTGTTTTTTTATTGTACGGTTTTGTTTTATTGCTGTAAACTGGTTAGATTTTTTAAAATGACAGAGTAGTATAAAAATGTCTTAAGAAACAAATTGATTAAATAAAAGGATAGCCCTAATCAGGCAGGACCCACTTTTCTGTGTCTCCTCTGTTCCTGAGGTAGCATCCAATTATGCCAACAGGGGCAGAATTACCCTTCTTAATGGAATGGCATAGTTGGGACTTACCTGGTCAGCCCCTGCCACAAGTTTAGGTTGTTTAAATATCTCAGCAGCATGGGAGCAGCTCAGAAAAGCAGATAAGGCAATAAGTAAAGAGTTCTGATGTGAGAAATTCTTTACAAAGGACTAACTCATTCATATTTCCAAAAACACTTTTGAATGTGGAGTTGAGATGGCAATTGCCAAGTGGCAATATCCCAGGCTTGTTTCCCTTTCAGAAATAGTTGTCACTAAGGGCTGAGACGGATTAGTATTGTAGGTACGTGGGAGCAGAGTTGGACCCTCTCCACCCATGCCATTTTCCTCTCAATGCTACTATGCCTGCTATTTCCAAAAGGTGGAATGATACTATTTGACCACCCCCTAGCTTGACTACTGCTTTACAGTTTTTACTATTATTTCCTGGGCATTGCAATAGAAGAGAATATTGCTGCCATTAGCTGTAATGCAGGTGTACAAATATTGATCCTTTGCCCTGCTTATAAATACCCGCAATTACTAGAGCACAAGGGTCTAATGCACTGAATCAATATGGTTAATTAGCACTTCCTCATCGGCGGAGCCTAATAGTGCTTTAAAATATTTAAGGGGGGGGTTTTCCACTCATGATTAAAATGGAAGCACATCGAGGAGCTTAGTGGTAGGAAATGTGAACAAAACAGTATTAAGACTATATTGCTGCAATACACAAAATTTATTTTCCCCCCAAAGTTTTTTCCCCTTTTCTTTTCTGAAAGCAAAATAGAATAGAACCAAACATCAATGTATTTTGTACAACAACAAAAATTATAACAGACAACCCATGAAGAGCTGAAAACTGCTTCCCTTTTTAAAAAAATCATGCTTTCTGGTCAGCAACAGTAAGTTGGCACAGAAAATGTCATGGCAGTCATTTCGGACTATTTTCCTTCAGATCCTTGTCAGCTGATGCCAGAGACTGGAGGGCAGGATGCTTTCCACTTTTTCCATCACAAAGTTCAAGGGGGCAAAGAGAGTGCTAAGAAACTGCAAAGCAAAAAAGAGTGATCATTTGTTGAGAAGATAAAGTAGTTTTCTTAATACACATCTTGTTTTTGCAAATAGTCTGTATACACATCAACTTTTGTATTAAATACTATGTGGGCTATGTTTCAAGTGGATAAATCAAAACTAGAAATTGAACTGTTAGAACCCAACACTAAGAATTTGTCAAGAATGTATAATTTGTTGCTGAAATGGAATACACAGGATGAAACGGTGAAATCAGCCATGATTAAATGGGCACAAGATATTGGTCATGACATTATGTTTGCCGACTGGGAACAGTTATGGACCACCGGTGTTAAGTTCACGGCATGTAATGCCTTAAGAGAAAACATAATGAAAATGATTTACAGGTGGTACATGACCCCAGTCAAGCTGGCAAAAATTTATCATTCGCCCGATAACAAATGTTGGAAGTGTAAAGAGACTGAAGGTACCTTCTACCACCTTTGGTGGACATGCCCGAAGATTAAGGCCTTCTGGGAAATGATCTATAATGAAATCAAAAAGGTACTTAAATGTACCTTCGCGAAAAAACCAGAGGCCTTTCTCTTGGGCATTGTCGGCCAATTGGTGACAAAGAGGGATAGAACTTTCTTTATGTATGCTACAACAGCAGCAAGAATACTCATCGCAAAGTATTGGAAGACCCAAGATCTACCCACTTTGGAAGAATGGCAGATGAAAGTGATGGACTATATGACATTGGCCGAGATGACAGGCAGAATCCGTGATCAACGAAAAGAGACGGTGGAAGAAGAATGGAAAAAATTTAAAAGTTATCTTAAGGACTACTATAAACTTAATGAATGCTAAAATGTTGCGGTTTTCAGAAATAAAGGGATACAGGGATATAAGGTTAGAAATTTAAAAAAGAACTAAGAAGATAGAGATTGGAAAATAACAATTGGGAGTTGCTAGTGGAACTTTGGACACTGGGATGCAGAGAGGGGGGGTATGGGGAAGTCAAAGGAAAGAAGTTTATGAAAATATGTTTGAAACTATACGTGTATGTTTGTCATTTTTGGTGTTTGTTTGTTTTTGTTTAAAAAGTTTCTAAAACCAATAAAAATTTTATAAAAAAAAAAATAAATAAATACTATGTGGGCTATGAGAGAGATCAGCTTTCTGATTTGTATGCAAATGTCTTTTCTGCTTTCTATTTAGTTGCTGGTTTTGATAATGTCTGTCCTTGTTCTAACCTGGGTTTTTGTTTGCTTTCTCATTGTTTCCCCAAGATTCTGGATTTTTCCTATTCTCATAGCATCTCTCATGCTATGTTGTCTCACTTACATCCCGATCTCTACTTCTTGGAAAGCTATTTTACCGGGCATGCTTCATTGTACATTTTAATTATGTAGGTATATTTTTATATTTCAGTCATTCGTGCCTCTGTCTTGTACTGGGAAAGTCACAGTAGTTGGTATCTGGTTTTTAACATTGTGATATATCAGTAAATCATGGTATTTTTCTGTTGCTGTAGCACAATGTCTGAAATGTACCTCAGCCACTGCTTCCTTCTCACCTTAAGTGAGGAAGACGCAGCCAAGATACATCGCCCAACCCCATACTGCTCTGGCTTGTGCAAGCAAGAGAGGCCCTTAAACCACTCAGCTAATGGGTGGAAAGTAGGCTTGGGCGATGTATCAATGCATGGGGCCAGAGCACAATAGCGGCTTCGCTCGGGGGTATATTGTAAGGTTACCAGATTTTTTTCAATGAATCTGGGGACGCTTTTCAACTTCAATGGATTTTGTATGGGAGCTGATTTGTAAATCTGTCCCGGGGACATCTGATAACCTTAATATATTGCATGTGAAACTGCCGCTGCTCCCGAGTCCCTCTACAACCAGCACCCAGCATGCTGATGGAGAAACAAACTGCAACTGGGCACTGGTAGTAGAGGGACTTGGGAGCGGCAGCGGTTTCACTCCCAATATACCCCCCCCCGGTGAAACTGCCATCATGGGACCAATAGTTTGTTCTTTCCTTCACTGCCTGGGTAGAGAGCTCGTTTAAACTTTTCGTGGGGTGCGCAGCTGCCGACCCCTTAGCGGAGAAGTCTAACAAAGTCCTGGCCTCATGAGCTGGGGGTGTGGGTTCTATTAGACTTTTCCACTAAGGGGAAGGTAGCCTGCCTGACCCCCCCCCCAAAGTGGCGGAGGCAGGCCCATATGTGCCTCTCTCATCTGCTGCCTTTGGAGGGTGGTGGGGTCAGGCAGGCTACCTCTTCCTTCCAGGAGAAAAAGGTAGCCCAGTGAATGGAGCCTGACACTGTGCTTTCACCTGAGAGGGTGGGCTGCATTTTTCTCCTGGGGTGGTTGGCCACTCCAGGTGTAAAGATGCAGTGTGCCCGCTCGGGCAAAAGCAAGCGGGCACCTTTGAGAAAGCCCACCCCTCTAGCAGCTCATTTCCCCAATGCCCAGTGAGAGGAACAAGCTGCATCGGCCCCAGCAGGTGCTGGGGGTAAAACCATCTCAAGTTTCCTCAGTGGGAGTTCAGAGATTTCAGCCCAGCTCATTGTGGGGCTGGGGCCAATGCAGCTTTTTCCTCCCTCCGTTTCAACATCACGGTGTATCACCAGATCACAGTGTTGAAAAGCTGACATCGTCCAGACCTAGCGGGAAGTGTCCCACCCCTCAGCTCTGCAAGCCAGAGGGGAAAGGGGAAGGTGGAGGCAGCCACTTGAGCAGGCTGCCTCTTCCTGGTCAGTTGCTCCAATGGTGACTTGGCGGGAGGAAGAGCCTGCGCACCCACTGCCTCTTAGCTGATCAGCCCTTCCATATACCTCCAGCTCCCTTGAGCCAGAGGCATGGGTTTTGTGTGTGGCTTCCTTAAACCGATCTGCTGAGGGGCACGCAGCCTTCTGCCCACCCCTCAGCAGAGCAGTTTAAGGGAGGCTCCCCATGTGTGCAGCCTTTGCACAGGTGGAATTTTTGAACTGCTGACCTCCCTGCGATGTATCAGCAGCTCAAAAAATCTGAAACAGGTATTGCGATCTGCACACCATACTGGTTTTAGTAAATTTTGTAAATTTTATTGCCTAGTAACTCTTTATGATCAGTACCCAGTGAATTAGAATGTTTAAGATATGGAATTCTACAAATGTTTTGAACTGGCCCTTAATTCTATTGACAGGACTATTTACCAGGAGGGCTGTCAAAAATGTCTCATTACCCTTTACAGTGGTGCCTCGCAAGACGAAATTAATTCGTTCCGCAAGTTTTTTCTTCTTGCGAGTTTTTCGTCTTGCGAAGCACGGTTTTCCATAGGAATGCATTGAAAATCAATTAATGCGTTCCTATGGAAACCGCCTTCAGACCAGGTCCGGGGACAGTCTGTCCCCCGACCTCTTCTGAAGGCTGGGTGGGGGGGACAAGGGCTTTTCTTCCCACCCCCAGCATTTTAAAAAACCATCTTAAAATGCTGGCGGGCGGCATTTTAAAATAGCCCCGGGACAGCGGAGGACTTCTCCGCTGTCCGGGGCAATTTAAAAGCCCCTGGGAAGGCAGGCAGGGGGGACAAAGACTTTTGCCCCCCGCCCGCCTTCAGAAGAGGTCCGCTCTCCCGGGAAGGCAGGCAGGGGGAGCAAAGTCTTTGCTCCCCCCCCCGCCTGCCTTCAAAAGCTGTCCGGGACAGGCTTCGCGGACCTCTCCGCAAGCAGCGGGAGCGCTCCCGCTGCTTGCGGGGAGTTGCCAGCATGCCGAAGCCTGCGCGCGCTGAGATCAGGGGGGAGCAAAGACTTTTGCCCCCCGCCTGCCTTCAAAAGCCGTCCGGGATAGCGGGAAGCGCTTCCCTGCTATCCCGGACTGCTTTTAAAATACTGGCGGTGGGGAGCAAAGCCTTTCGGCCCCCGCCGGCCTTCCTGGACCTCTTCTGAAGGCCGGAGGGGGGGGGAGGCTTTGCTCCCCACCGCTAGCATTTAAAAGAGGTCCCCGGAGATTTCCCTATGGGCTTTCTTCTTGGGAAGCAAGCCCATAGGGAAATTCGTCTTGCGAAGCAACTCGCAAACGGAAAACCCTTTCGTCTTGCGGGTTTTCCGTCTTGCGAGGCATTCGTCTTGCGGGGCACCACTGTATAACTAATTTTGTTTGAGAAGGCAAATGGGACCCATAACAGCAGCAGCCATAAGTCGTCATACTATTAGCTACAACTTACAATATCAGTTTAAGGGAAGACTGGCTGCTTGCATCATGTTAAGAAAAGTAAGTTTGCTGCTACCACACATGTCACGTGAAATACCGTATTTTTCACTCTATAGGATGCGCTTTTTCCCCTCCAAAAGTTAAGGGGAAATGTGTGTGTGTCCTATAGAGCGAATGCAGGCTGCGTGGCTAAGCCCAAAGCCAGAACAGGGAGATGGAGTGCTGCGGAGCACTCTGTCTTGCTCTTCTAGCTTTGGGTTAGCTGTGCAAAACCTCTGCAGGGCAGCAGGGTGCCTTCACCCCCCTGCCCTGCGGAGGCTACAAAGACTGTCCCCGAAGCCTCAAGCCTTTGGAGTGCAGTGGGAACTCGCGCTGCGCTCCAAAGGCTTTGGGTCAGCGAAAGGAACCCGAAGCCTTTGGAGCGCAGCCCGAGGTCCCGCTGCGCTCCAAAGGCTTCGGGGATCTTTGAGCAGCGCTTCCCCCCACCCCCACAAGCTCAGGGGGCAGTGGCAAGGCTGCGCGCAGCCTTTGTGCTGTTCCCCAACCTGCTCTTTGGGGCTGACGGTGGGGGAAAGCAGCGCTTCCCCCCACCAGCCCCAAAGAGCAGGTTGAAAGGAACCTGAAGCCTCCGGAGCCCAGCGGGAACTCCCGCCACGCTCCAGAGGCTTTGGGTGAATGCACCTTGAACGCACCTTGTTTTAGAGGGGGAGAACAAGAAAAAAAAATTTTTTTTTCTGTTCTCCCCCTCCTATAGTCTGGTGTGTCCTATGGAGCGAAAAATACAGTAGACATGACTGCCATAAATGTGACTGTATTTTGGCATGCAATATGAAATGCAAATCTTCCTTCTAGTACATTGTAATACAAAGAACTCTCACATTTATATTCCATAGCATAGCATGTACTTTCCCTGAAAAGTATAGTTCAAACGGGTAGTTAAATCAAACAGGAACCTATTCCATTTAGTCAGCGATTTGAACCACTGCTGGTTTGTATGGTGTTTCATTACTGTAATTGTTCTCAGCTCTGTGATAAAAGGAATGAAAGCTTCCACTCCATTTTTCATAAAGTTGCCAACATGTAACCTAGAATGAATGTTGTGGTAACCATACTATAAGGATCTACCACAACTTTGTCCTGATCCATCATGCTGTTGGATAGACAAGTCTTAATTGGCGACATTATACTGGGGTCTCAACAACAAGGGCCAACTGCAGCATAGGGGGCAAGAGTTTACTAGACAGCTAATGCACTTTGCTTAGGGACTAACTAAGAGTGTGTGGTTTGCACCTTTATGACGCCCTAATAGCTCGGGCTGTAAAACATAATGTATTGCAAAAATAGACTGTATTGAAGTCTGTTTTCCTGCACAACGTTTAAAATATATAGTTACAGCACCCTCAGAATCATAGCCCTTCAGACTGAATGTACAGCCAGAACACAATTGTCACCAATTGTCATACAGTCCTATTTTATTTACCCAGTCAAACACACACACACTTGATCCACCCAGAAAAGGGTCATGAGGAAATATTACTCACTGCTTTAGCGAAGACTCCCATGAGCTCTGGGAACTGATGTGTCAAAAGTGCCAGCATAGCTGTGAAGGAACATAATCCAGCAGTGAAGAGAATAAAGAAAGGAAGCTCTTTCTTGGGGTAAACTGAGACTTCATGAAATGCTGCATGGAAAATATTAGGAAAGAACAAACACAAAGCTAGGGTAAGCAAAATACATTATTTGAAACCTTCTGGCTCTCAGTTCACTTAAGTATTCCTAGGGAGGTTCCTTTTAAAAAACTTGGTCACCTAAAATGTTCACCAAAATAGCATGTTTGTTGAGCTTGACCTCTGTTGCTCTAACACACTCCTCTAGTTCCTCCTTTTCTTCTTTCTCTAGCTAAACCAAACATCCATCTTCATGTCAAAGCTCTCACACAAGATTATGTATTATAATGGCTAGGAGCTTTGTTTATTTTTCAATTATGTATAAATTTCCTTATGAATAACAACAGTGGGGTAAAGCATTTCCCAGGCTTGATAGCTTTTTTATGGGAAGGGCACTTGGAGAAACAGCCTGTTTTTTAGTTACTTAGAAATTAAACAAGGGGAAAAACGTTTCACTCTTACATGGAAGAAGTTCTCTGTCTGCTGTTTCTGTACAGATGGGGTAAGGGTAGAAAAGGTGCCCTTTTTCCAAAGGATAAGGGATCATTCTGAAAGCTATAAAGGAAAGGGAGGAACAGTCACAGTTTGAAGGTGACAAAGCCATACATTGCAATGCACTTTAGATACAAGATCAATAAACTTTTCAGTTGCTGAAATAGTCATGTAGGGCAATGGTTCCCAAACTTCCCACACACTCAAAAATTGCTGGTGGTCTTGGTGGACTGCTTAATGATTTTTATACCTGTTGTAGTAATTGTAATGCACTGTTCTAGGGACTATATGATTTTTTAATTGTATTTCTTATATTGTATTGTATTAGTTTGTCTTCCATAGTATTCATCTTATTGTTATACAACAAGAGCAATAGAAGAAGCAATAAAAATACAAATTAAACTTAATACGAGTATTTACCGCAGACATGCCATGGACCACCTGAATGAAGTTTGCAGACCACTTTGTGTTTTACAGACCACAGTTTGGGAACCTCTGATGTAGGCTCCCGCAATAATAAAACAATCATGTAAACATCAAGTTAAGCTCCTTGTTATTTAAATTTGCAATACATTCCCTTCTCTCAATGAATCCTGATGTGAATAGTTTCCAGTCACTTAGCCAAATTATTGAATTCTCCATGCATCTACTATTATATTACTTTTCAAATAAATATAATACAAAAACTGTATGCCTATTTCAGAACCTCAATATCCCTGCAACTTTAGGAGGAATTGAGATGTAAATGAAAGCAGCCAAGCACTGCTTTGAAGGAATACAGAGGTGCTGTATCATCAATATTAACAGTGCAATTTATACATCTCTACTCAGATGGAAGCCCTATTGAGTTCAAAGGGACTTACTCCCAGCTAAGTGTCTATAACAGTGGTTCTCAAACTTGTTTCTATGGGCCACACTTTTCAGAATAAAAGCATGCGAAAAACAACTAGGATTGTTCTCAATATCATTTGATGCTCTTGCTCTAATTTTGAAAAGATAATCTATTCATAGTATGCAAATAAAAAAAAAAAAGATGTGATACGATACTACATTCCTCTTCTGCCACAGAACTCCTGTGCACATGCTTCCCTATGTATTTTGGCAAGCAGGATAACCTTATGTACATAAGAGACACTCAATGGACTGGAGCCCCCATTTCTGCAAGAAGGCGGCTAGATCAGGTACTAGCATGAATCAATCAATATTCTGTAGCCTGCAAGGTCTTTGCATATCAAAAGCAAATGAGCTATTGCATCATTTGGCATTCACCTGCCAGATGCTTCTAAGAAAGTGAGTTACTTACTGCCTTCCCACGTACAATGTAAGAGATTTAGTGCCCCCTCGACCCTTTTCCAGTGCTGAAGGTGAAAGAAAGCATAAGCTATTGCTTCACTGTCGCCCCTCTTCAAAATATGTTCAGGAGGCAATATCAAGCTTTTCATTTCTAGGAGATACTGCAACAGAAAGACATCACAAAGGAACAAAGTCACTACCTGAAATTTTGCACTTGGGCCAGGATGCACCTGCTTCCTGTGTGGTACTGCAGGGGTTTTTTTAAACGTGATATAGCATTTAAAGGCCATGTTGTTTAAAGAATTAGTAACCCTTTTTGTAGTGGCTGCCAGACAAGTTTAGGTCAAAATTGGAAGACGGTTGCTAATTTGACAATGGAGACATAGTATGGCAAAAAACTGGAATGCTGCACTTGTGGGAAAACTAAGCAACTGGAACAGCAAACCATAAGAGTTTCGAGGAAACATGGTACATTTTTTATTCAATGTATCAGAAACAACAGGATAGGGCACTGCAGTCAACTCATGGCAATCACTGGCATCTCAGCTGAGCCAATGAACATAATGCCTACATTTGATCTCCATAGTTACACATGATTCATTAACTGTGTGAATGTTACACAGAGAGAATGAAGGGAGAAAGGGGGTTGTTTGGAGTTAAAGACAAAATGTGACACCACCAACTGCACTTGATGATGCATTACTGAAGTATCCCAAGTTCTTCAGCGTGCCAAGTATACTGAAGCATCCCTTGCCAACTGGAGAGAACTATTAAGTAAAAACTTACTCTTGTAAATGCTAACTATGAAAACAGCAAAAAAATTCTCTAATTAGAGTAGCTCTAATAAAGAAAGTGATATAGAGTTGGAAGGCTCACTCCAAGTGTCTTGACAGTGCAATTCCCTACCATTTTATTTTTGCAGAAGAAAGCCTCACTGAATTGAATGGAACTTCCTTCCAGGTAACCGTATAGGACTGGCACCTTCTGCACACTTACCTGGGAGTAAGATCCACTGAATGTAGTGAGACTTGCTTCACCCACCTCTATAGGACCACCGTAAGTACAGTGGTACCTCGGGTTACAAACTCCACTAACTCGGAAGTAGTACCTTGGGTTGAGAACTTTGCCCCAGGATCAGAACTGAAATAGCGCACCAGTGGTAGCAGTAGGCCCCATTAGCAAAAGTGCGCCTCAGGTTAAGAACGGTTTTGGGTTAAGAGCGGACCTCCAGAATGAATTAAGTTTGTAACCCGAGGTACCACTGTAATACAATTCAAACACATCAATTTTTACCAAGTTGCTTCTTCAGGATCATGCTATTCTGAATATCAATTCTGCCAATTTCTAGTAATCCATTTAAGTTTTGTAACATCTTAAGGAAAAATCCTAATTTATAGTGGTCTTTGAAGTTTGTATTTATAGTTCTGCATCAAGCACTTTTATTGTTTTACTGTAATGGACAAGCCATCCTGGAACCAATTCTGGGGAAGGGCAGTATATAAATAGAGAGACAGACATGAGTTGCTTACATTTCAGAACCCCAAACAAAATTGACTATACCATAAATTATAGATATAACTCTCTGATTATGGTTCTAATTGTTAATTTATGCTGCTGTAATAGTGAATAGCCATTTAAATGTGAATTTTAAATACTATTCCTATCTGGGAGGTTTAATAATTTAGGATACTGCTTCACTGCCTATAGCTAGGGTGAGCCTAAAACTATTCAAGAGATATACTAATCTTTTTGTATGAGCATAGTGCTCATGCTGGGTGTGCCCAAGGCCAGGCGTGTTCACTCTTTGCAGATGTTGTCAGAACAGCCTAGGGCACCTATATTGATGAACATGTTGCGTGTACATGATTAAAACTATCACACATTACAAGGAATACCTTGGGAACACGGGCTAGGGTCATGCACTCATTAACTTATGCTCCACAGAAACTAAATGCACAGGGAAAATCCACTGAAAGAATACTGCTCTGATTAAAATCTGGAGCCTTTCAGTCATATGCTAGAATTTGCCATTTTGTTTGAAGAAAGAAGTTGCAATACATTTGAATAAAAATATGAGATAAGAGCAGATTACCCTTATTTCTCTTTCTCCCATCAACCCATGATAGAAGTTTCAGAAAGCAAATCAAGCAGCAATTTCTTGAAATCTTGATTAAATACTATTCATGCAAACAACAAACACAGCTACATCCCTCAAGTGGGAAGAGGGAGATGTTATCTCTTAGTATAAAAAAGGTTGAAAGAATAAACCAATTAAGCTGCATTTTTTACTACATTGATTTTTTAATTGCAGGAGCACCTCAAGCTTAGTGGGAAACCGATTACTTAAACAAGGAGGACAGCAGAGGCTGATTTCCTGAGTTATGGAGACCGCATGGATTTACTCTTCAGAGGCAACTTTTATCTCTGGGCCAGTTCTACAACTGGCAGAGCAATCTTATACATGTCTATTCAGAAGTAAGACACCTTTAGCTACTGTTATAAAGAATTAAACAGACTTTTCTAATAGCTATGCATGCCAAAGGCCAGTGTTGAAAATACATTGCTGCAGTTCGAATGAGATGCTAAAATGTAACCTCAGCATAGGTTCTTCAAAAATAAACCCTCTGCCCCCTTATTTGTGGGGCAATATTTTCCTGTATATGTTGAAGCACGAATCTTAAGCGCTTGATGTAAAATCCTGCATTCCCTACTAAAACACAAAATGGTACCTCACTTCCAGGTGTGTACCATTTGAGACTGCAAGTGGGGTCCTATATTAGAGTGTTCCTGCATTGTAAACAGCTCTCTATTTCTTGGAAAAGAGCAGATCAGAGTATTGCTCTAACCAAGCCGCCACAGTATGCTTAATTTCTTTCCCCAGATTAAGTAAGGTAAAGGTACCCCTGCCCGTACGGGCCAGTCTTGCCAGACTCTGGAGTTGTGCGCCCATCTCACTCAAGAGGCCGGGGGCCAGCGCTGTCCGGAGACACTTCCAGGTCACGTGGCCAGCGTGACATCGCTGCTCTGGCTAGCCAGAGCCGCACATGGAAACGCCGTTTACCTTCCCGCTAGTAAGCGGTCCCTATTTATCTACTTGCACCCTGAGGTGCTTTCGAACTGCTAGGTTGGCAGGCGCTGGGACCGAGCAACGGGAGCGCACCCCGCCGCGGGGATTCGAACCGCCGACCTTTCGATCGGCAAGCCCTAGGCGCTGAGGCTTTAACCCACAGCGCCACCCGCGTCCCTCCCCAGATTAAGTAGTGAGAGGCAAATGTGAAATCTACTACCTGCAGTATGAAATGCTACAGGTGAGGAACTGCAGAGCTGTTCTGCATTGTATATCTGCAGCCCAGCTTTAAAATGGCTAAGGCGGCACACAAAAAAACAGATGTTCTAAGAATATAGTGTTAAGGACAATTGCACAAGCGAGGCTGAGAGCTATGCTCAGTCTGAAATTCTGACTTGATAACATGGAAGAAAAAGTGGAAGGGAAGTATTCAACTTGAGAGCTTGATTCTAGCTGATGTAAATGTGCAAAATGCTAAAGGAAATTTACCCCATCACTTGTGAAAATAGCTAAAGGCGTAAGAAGACACTCCAAAAGAAGGTCTTCAAAGAGCAAGAGTATGAAACACACTGGAGAACTATTTATACAAGATCAAAAAAGGAGACATCCTGAGGTTTAAAAAGAGGTTGATTTCAAGGTTTCGACATCTGTACTTGTTGCAGCAGTGACAAACGCAGAAGACTGTACACCCTGCCCATAAAACTGGCTGCCCTGTTGTACTATATTAAATCCCCAACCCTTCCTTGTTCACCTCCCATTCAAGTTCATTTTGGCTTTTGTTTCAAACAGCCGCAGTAACTCATTATAAACTCACTTTTGGCACATGTGGATTAAATTCTACCGCTCTGTGAATAGCTTCTACTGCATTCATCTCTGCTGTACTTAGCCCTCGTCTTGAAGCTGCCTCTGGAGAAAATCTACACGGAAGAAAGAAAACAGGAAGCATGGAGGTCAACTTCAGCACAAGGAAAAGCTTCAGAGGAGCATCGATGTAGCAGGGGCATTAGCGCTCTCCAGTGGAAAAGCTGAGCAACCAAATGACACAGAGGCTACTGACTAAAAATCCCAGCAGAAGTTGAAAGCACGTTTGCAACTTATCGCGGCAAATGTACAAGCAGTCCAATTTCTTTTCTCTCTGTCTGCTAATCTAAATTTGCTTTATGTGCTTGTTTTTAAAATCAGGACCAAAACCCCTCAAGGGAGGGGTGAAAAAAGAAAAAATATGCCAGTAAATTGTTCCAAAGGGTTTTTTTTTTCTTTTTAATTGAAAAATACATTTTGGGAAGGCTTTAGAGTTCTCGAAGCCACTGGGACAGCGACAGTAGTAGGTAATCTACTTTCAGCTGTACCCGTTCCTAGTGGTGTGCCCATACTGTGGGCAAATATCATCTGCCCCAGTGAATGGAAGGTGGGGGGCGGGGAATACCCAGACCATGCAATCTCTTTCTCACCTCACACCCCATGGCTAACTCCATAGCTGAACTTGGCAGGCAGACACCACAGGGAAAGCTGTGACAAACCTAGCCCTGCCCTCCCAAGCTGGAGTCGCTGTGTAGGGAGGAAAGATGTTGCAGATGGTACTGGCGATCTACAGGACAAAAAAAAAAAAAAAGAACGAAAGGGGAAAAAATTACTTAGGTCTCGAAGTGCAAATACACTATAATCGCAAAGTCTCCGCAAAAAATAAAAAAAGAGCAGGAAGGAAAGTGGTCTTTCCCATACTGCTTCCTTCCCACCCTTTGGGCTGTGCTCTGAACCCGGGTAGCATGTGCATGACGTGACGCCTTCTGCTCGGGATTTGTGCGCTTCCACCTCTGAGCAGAATCTGGCTCTTAGGAGCTCATCCCGTAAGGTGCCAAGCACCCCCACGAACGGAAGAATCCCTGCATCTCTGACAAATATCTTTGATAGCAGCTGAAGAAGCAGAGTGTGAGTTGCTAAGCACCCTAGAAAGATACTCCTAAGGAAGCTTTTATGTTGCAGACTGAGATAACCCACTATTTGCCTGCCAGAAATACTTATACATTCACAATACTTGTCTCAAATAAATGTGCCCCGCACACAATTATTCTGCTGGTAAGGATAAATTACGTTTATAAAATTGTCACATTTTGTATACAAGATGATGGCCAAGAGAACACCAGCTGTTTTTAAAAAAACAAACGACAGCAGTAATATGTAGGTAACCATTGTTGATGCTATCCATGCAGTATACAAATGTGATGTTCAAGCGGCCTCCATTATACAACATCAAATAAACATCACATGGCATGATAAAACATTTTCCTGCTAGTATGAATGGTCCTTCAGTAATGGAAAATGTTAAATGTCAGCCAAGTTTGCAGAGTAGAATTCTGGTGGACAGGTGTTCTTCTGGACTTACTTGTCAGAGACAGCTCTGGCTTTCAGCAGGGCAGCCGTGTAGCATATTGTGGCTGATTTGGGCAAACTTATATCTGTAGGGAAGATGACAAAAATGAAAAAGCCTAAGATTCTTTACATTTAAAAACCGCAATGCTGGTGGTAAAAGGGGAATCTATGAATACATTTTCAATACGTTTTGTGAAACGTAGAAACCTATCGAACCACATTAAGGAAGGATTGGAACCAATTATCTCCTCTAAATTGAAATACTTGGTAGAAGAAAGTCAAAGCTATATCTCTTGGTGTTAATGATTTTAACCCTCTGATAAACATTTACTGCTTGGGAGATGCACCTCTCAGATCATCTATGAGAGGGAGCCAGTGTAGTGAGGAAGAGTTTTTAAACATAACTAATATGCAGTATTTTTAGGAAATAGGATCATGCAATACTGCAATAATGCCAAGCAATGAAGAAACAGCCAGGACTGTACCTGAACTTAACTAAGGCCGATACAGCTTTGATGAACATGTTTGATATTCATTCATGTGTCTGTCACATTCATGTATGAAGTAGTGTCAAGGTCTACTTTTATTTCATTTCGTAATTGCATCCTGGGAGACATCCCAAAGCAATTAACAATAAAAGTGTCAATTTAAAACAACGATAAAAACACACAAAATGTATACTATTTTACTTAAAAGCATATAAACAATATATTAAAACATGTATGAAAAGAAGTTTTAATAGCTAAAGGGGCACCCAAGTGAGGGAAATTGAACCTCCTTTTCTCTTCTACCCTCTGCGGTCCATCGTCCCAGCAATGCCCTGAGGATTGGTAAGCCAGGCTGAAGCAACAGAATAAGCAGAGGTATCGTGGGTAACAGTTCTGCTTCCTTCATGCAGGCATGTTATAAGAAGGCACACACTCTTGCCCCTCTCATGTTGACTTGGGGAAACTCTTGAATAAACGAGCATGGCTGCCCCATTGCATCAACCTTGTTCTGTGTCTCAAGACTGCTTTCAGCTGAAATGCAAAGCCATGGAGAAAGAGAGCCAAGCTACATCACAAACTTGCAGCTATATTCTCCTTGCTCAGCTCTAATGGCCCTGGGAATTGTATTCTCATGAGGATACTGAGAAGTGCCAATCAAGAGATCCCTAGCTAGTCTCCTGGAGAAAGTATTCTCAAGGTTCCTTGGAGTTCAACAGGAGAGAATTACTGTTAAATGGGTTTAAGTCTGAAGTGTTCTGTTGTCCCCAGAGAGCCAAAAGGGAGAGATCTATTGACTGACCTTTTCTCAGGTTTACCAAAATAGGCCAGATATACATGGCTAACACATGCCACATTTTTACCTGTGCATGGCATGTACAGGTTATCACTTACTTCAAAACTCCCTGCAAGCATAAAACTAACAGAGCAGGGTGAGAGAGAACCTTTTCACCCGATAAGCTAGTGTTCTACCTGTTGGTGTGTACATGGATCAGTATTCCACTGACTAGTCCAGTATTTTCTGAACTTGGGTCTCCAGCTGTTTTTGGACTACAACTCCCACCATTCCTTGCTAGCAGGTCAGTTGTGATGGAAACTGTAGTTCAAAAACAGCTGGAGGACCAAGTTTGGGAAACATTGGGCTAGTCCACTTTGCTCAGCTTTAAAAGGTAAAGGTACCTCTGACTATTAGGTCCAGTCACGGACGACTCTAGGGTTGTGGCGCTCATCTCGCTCTATAGGCCGAGGGAGCCGGCGTTTGTCTGCAGACAGCTTCCGGGTCATGTGGCCAGCATGACTAAGCCGCTTCTGGCGAACCAGAGCAGTGCACAGAAACGCCGTTTACCTTCCCGCTGCAGCGGTATCTCTTTATCTACTTGCACTTTGATGTGCTTTCGAACTGCTAGGTTGGCAGGAGCAGGGACCGAGCAACGGGAGCTCACCCTGTCGCGGGGATTTGAACCGCTGACCTGATCGGTAAGCCCTAGGCTCTGTGGTTAAGACCACAGCGCCACCCGCGTCCCTTGCTCAGCTTTACTGTACTATAAAAGCAAGAGGTGAAATCTTGTACGGTGATCAAAAGGACAGATAGATGCCTCCACTAACAAAAGTGGTGGAGAAGCAATCTCCACCAAATCCCCCCAAGACTGGAAGATAGTGGGAGCCTCCAAAACAGCATGATTATTGTTATGAGAGACTGCACAGCGAATTAGCAAAAATCACCTCTCCCTCTCTGCCAAAAGAAGAAGAAAATCCATTAGAAGAAGCATCAACCGTATCAAAGACTTCAAATAGAGGCACAACTGCATATGACCCAGAATGTTTAATCAACAGTTCCCTAGGAAACTTACACACACCCTCTATTTTTTTGAATAAAAAGGAATCATTTGAAAAGCCAAAAATCCTCCCTAATATTTCAATTTTCTCTGCGCTATTAAGGTCAGAAGTCAATTAGTGGCTCTCACTGTCAGAACACACTCCCCCTTTGAGGTTAATGAATAACTTGCTCTCAATGCTATTAAAAATAGCTGCTTTAATGGCAAACAATCCAGTATTGCAGTATGGCCTGAGGGTCAGGGAGGTTTTCATTTGCTATGAATCCTGCAAATAGCTTATTTCTTCTGAGCAAAGCCATTCAGCTGCAACAACAGATGCATATTTAACCCAGAATTCTGCAGCAGTTAAGCCACCAACCCTAACCCCAAACCTCTTGCACATCTTTTTATTTAGCAAGCTTGCATACAGAACCCTCACAAAAACTGTGCCAGAGAGGAAGAATTTGCAGTTTAAGACACTAGAAGAGAATAATACTGGAGCATCTCTTAAAACAAGTAAAGAGGCAGAAGCAGAAGAAGCTTTGAAACATTTTCTGTTCTTTGCCTGTCTGCAGTTTCCATGGTGAGCGGTTTCCAGGGCTGCAACCCTCTACTAATGGGAGGGAAAGATCTCCCTCCGAAATTGCACGCCCCCTCTAGGTATGACCTCCCAGGCGCACCTCTTCTAGTAAGAGCACTGCTGCTGACAGCAAAAGAGAGGCAGAAAATGCACTTTGCGTAGATGTCTTAATTGTGCCAGAAGACAATATTTCTGTAAGGCCACAAGACACAGAGAAGTCGAGATGATTCACTGTCTGGGAATATTTTGCATCTCTGAGTTCACCCAAGAGTCAATCACGCTGTTAAACAGCAAGAAAACAGGATAATGAGGGAGAGGAGGCACCATGTATCACAGAAGGGACCTGAGGGTCATTTAGTCCAACCTGCTGCAGGAATCCTGCCCACAGCTGTCCCTGGGTTAGACAGGCCCACACAGATGCTTAGAAAGTTGAGGTAGCCACAAAGTATCCACAAAGTCACTTTGTGGATATTTAAGTTATAATTAGAAAAATCTTAATAATTATTCATAAAGGAAACAGCTTATAAGAAGTATATAAGGAGGCCAGATACAGGATAAAGGAAGTCTTTTATTTGGGTGTTTGTATTGTATGTTATGCTTATTGTCTGTTATGTTCACATTTTATGAGGGTGGATTTCTGTATTGGGAGAGTGGGGGGTTTGTGTTATGTTGTAAAAAAAAATTATTATAAAATTTTTTAAAAAGTTGAGGTAGCTTTAATCTGTTTTAGTTTTTAACTTTTGTATGTCTTTAAGGAGGGTTGAATTTTTTTCTTGATTTTATTATTTTACCTTGTTGTAAACCCTTTTGTTTGTTTGTTTCTTTTATAACCAAGCGATGTATAAATTTCATGAAATAAATAAATGGTCCAGAACACATGGAATGATGGAGAAGCTTAAGAAAAGTTATGCAGAATTGTTTCAGAACTACAGCATTTGAAAGAAGCTGGGATTTTTACCCTTTAAAGTGATTCTGTCACTGGAAGCTGCTCTCTCTTCCTCTCAATTCACACACACACACACACACACACACACACACACACACACAGTAAAGAGGTACTTATGCTTACCATCATATTTTGCTAAAACTGCCTGAACATCTGCGTATGCTTGTAACTCCAACAGAGCTTCCAGCAAATTTTCATGGATGTTGAACATGCTGAGAAGAGGGAATTCCTTCATTAACTATAATAATAATAAAAAATAAGAGAACAGGCTTATATTTAGCACGGAATCCCGCAACACTGATGTGAAAGCAAGTGTAAACGACTGCTCTAAGGAAAACAAATTCAACAGTGCAATAAAGATAAAAGTAAGTTAAAACTATAAAAGCACTTAAAATGCCTACTGAAATAACAAAACAAATCTGCAGTAGGTGTCAAGACATCCACCAGGGTGGGGTCCCGTCTGATTTCAACTGGGATTTCAATAAAACTGAGCCACCGTACTGAATGTACAGTTCCTGGTGGATACGAGTAGTGAATCTGAGCCATGGAGGACCACGCTATCTCCTTCTTGTGTTTAATTCTTGGGTATGATTATATTCTGTGGGAGGGAGCCTCCCAAAATCCAGGGGGGAGGGACGACACCAAACTACCCCCCAACATCTTCAAAAAATAAAAATAAAAAGACAAGACAAGACAATAGCATGGTAGAAATTGCTTTGTTCCAGATGCAGCAACTGTCAGGGAAAGGAAGAAAAATTTCTGCTTTCAGTTCAGGGGAGTCCATTCCCTCTCTCTAGCACTTCATTTTCAGGCAAACGCGTATCGGTCTGGAACAGGAAACATGCTTCATATAAACTAGCTTAATCATGGTCCAGTAATTATTTCCTCCAAATAACCAAATTAGATGGTTATCAAAATTACACCGGTTTTATAAAATGATTTACACCCCCCCCCAAAATTAAAGGGTTAACTATTTTTTTAACTTTTGGTGCAAACACCTTTGATAACAAGTCAGCAGAACTTGGCTTGCAAATGCATACTTATTTTTCTTTACACTTTACCTAGCAATCATTTTACATCTCTTAATATAACACTGCACTATAAGGTGGTTCACTATTAGAACAGGAATTTATAGAGCACATACACATGAAGTTGGAAATAAGTGTTCGCTCTAGCATCATGCAAATAAATAACTACTAGTGGGCTATTTGTTTCCGAGCCAACAAATAAAACGGAAGACTGACAACACATTAGAAACACATTACATGTTGACTTTTATCTAGTTTGGGTTTGTTTGTTCTTTTGCTTTCTGACCAAATACGATTTCCACTCGCCCCTGTAACACAGTTTCGGGGTGATAGGCTTGGATGTCAGACAACAGCAGAGAGACTGGACTGCGAGACAATGCAAATCAACAGCAGTCCCGTCAGAAAAGTCTTACGGCTAAATCATTTTGGGTTGTGACTGTGAAAGCTGCCATCACTCTGCTCTTGGAATAAATGCAAGTGGGCAAACGAAACGTTAACTCTAATGCATTTTCTCTTCCAAAGTGGAATTCTCCTTCAAAATGTTTGCAATAAATTACAAAGAAACACGGTAGGCTAGCACAGGATGAAAGGTAATGCAACTCCAGCATTTCTGTAAATTGACACAATAATAAGTTGCTCACTATATTTCTGTCTTTAAAACGTAAGGGAATATACATGTTACTGTGCCATTTACCTTGCCATTTTATAGAAAGGCGAGGAATTACTTCGGGCTTTAGGATTGTAATCATTTTTCACCCATACGCTGGGCAAAATTAGGACTCCGGGTCTTGGGGATCTAGGTGTTCCACTACCCCTGGTATTGATATACAAATATTGATGGACCACAACACCTACCAATGGCCAGGCTGGCTGGGGATGCTGAGGATTGTAATTCAACAACATCTGAGGACCCTGGTTGGGGAACTTCACCCTTTTGCCAGGGTCTCTATGCTGCTGCCATTTGGAAACCCAGCCAGATGGGTGGGGTATAAATTATTATTATAAAACTGTGGGTGGGGCAATTTGGGTACATAACCATGAAAGGGGGCGGGGAGGTGTAACTGGTGCCCTGAGAAACTGATATCAGGGTTGCCAAGAGTGCAGAAGCTGCACACTCGCTTCTTTGCAATGTTCTCTGTTGAATGGGACCGGTGGCGGGCTTTGGGCTCTCAAATTCCAGGGGCAGCCTGTGCAGTGCTAAAATTTGAGGGTACCCCTTCCCACCTCTTGTGCTCCATTCTGCAACATTGTTGTGGCGCCCCTTGCAATGCGGCTGCACCGGTCGTGCTACCTTACAACCGCCTCTGATGCGATCCATTAAGGTTAACAGGAGGCACCTAGTGATGGCAACACAGTTGTAACAGGACACATAATTCAGTCTCATTAGGGCCATTAGTAACCCCAGGATGCCTGGACTGGATCAATAGGTTTTTACATCCCCTCTACACACAATATAGGCAGAAAGGTAAGAGAATGAAAGTGCATTCATTAGGGTTGCCATATGTCCTGAATTTTCTGGATATGTCTTGGATTTTAATGGCGGAATTAGTGTCCGGGGTGGAATCAGTAAAATGCCCTGGTTTTTTTGTCAAGAGAACAAGGAAGTGTGTGTTTGAGTATTACTCATTTCCCCCCAAAAGCTCAACAATTAAGTATGTTTCCAGGCCGATGAAAAAAGCCTCAATGCTACGATTCCTAATGCTGTTGTCTCCATTTTGTTCCCGCTTAGCTTAAAAACACCGCCATACTTCCATTTTTCAGCACAGTACGTCACATATCGTTAAGGAGTAGCCACATTGTGACAAAAGCAGTTCGTTAAAATGGGGCAATGTCTGACAAGGAAGGGGTTGTTGCAGCTTTGTATCACAAAAGTAATTAGTTGTTGTTGTTGTTAATACCCCGTCCATCTGGCTGGGTTTCCCCAGCCAGTCTGGGCAGCTTCCAACAAAAGATTAAAAATACATTAAAACACCAGTCATTAAAAACTTCCCCAAACAGGGCTGTCTTCAGATGTCTTCTAAACGTCAGACAGTTGTTTATTTCTTTGACATCTGGTGGGAGGGCGTTCCACAGGGTGGGCACCACTACCGAGAAGCCCCTCTGCCTGGTTCCCTGTAGCTTCGCTTCTCAAAGTGAGGGAACCGCCAGAAGGCCCTCGGAGCTGGACCTCAGTTGAACGATACAATAATCTTTGTTCTCATTGTCCCATACAGAACGAAATTGAAAAAAAATCTACACCAGACATTCAAAAACCAACGTGCCTGCTATCCCAGGTATCCGCTGATGGGGGTGGAGACACTCCTTCAGATATACTGGACCAAGGCCGTTTAGGGCTTTCAAGGTCAGCACCAACACTCTGAATTGTGCTTGGAAACATACTGGGAGCTAATGTAGGTCTTTCAAGACCGGTGTTATGTGGTCTCGGCGGCCGCTCCCAGTCACCAGTCTAGCTGCTGCATTCTGGATTAGTTGTAGTTTCAGGGGCCACCTTCAAAGGTAGCCCCACGTAGAGCGTGTTGGAGTAGTCCGAGCGGGAGATAACTAGAGCACACACCACTCTGGCAATGACAGTCAGTGGTTCTTAGCTCAGTCGGTAGAGCACGAGACTCTTAATCTCAGGGTTGTTATATACTGCCTTAAGCCTGGAAATGAGACTAACCATTGAGATCTTAAGTGCACTGGAAGGCTGCTTGCTGAATCCCTATTTTGTTTCCCGGAATGTGTCAGCATTCACATGTTAGCACTTCTCCTTATATAGCCTGGGATTTGGAGGGGTGCGTACACACCTTCCTCCAATCTTTCAAACGAACTCATAGCCTCTGCCCTTCTTCCCAATGTTGTGATGTGGAAGGAAGCTGCAAAAATGGTTATTCATTGAACTGCGGGGGAGAGGGGTCCATCTTCCCGTCTATGCCTGGGATACAGAAATAGCAAGATAAAATTCATCTTTTTTTCAAAAGTAGAAAATCTTGACTTGGCTCCGTGGGAACAAACACCTGAAGAAGTTAGAAGGCTCAAATGGCTGCCGCAAGATTCCTTTGTGCAGAAGGAGAAATCCTTTCTCAAGATGGAGAAATCCTCCCCATTAACGGCCATCTGTCAAGTTCGTGGTCCTAAGAATGCGGCTACATTTAGCTAAAGCTCAAGAGTGGCAGAATGTCTGACAGCTTCACAATGATGGAACTGAAGCTGCCACTTATGTTGGTAGTGAGCTAAATACGTGTAAAATTCAGGAAAATTGAATTATGCAAAGAGGGGCTGCCCACTTCCTGATAAGGTCTGTCCGTTTTACTACTGGCACATATTTCCCTTGGGGCTACTATGCATGCACTTACATGCTGTACTAAGTATTGGCAAATGAACTAGAGTGCTGACAGCAACTGAGATAAGTGGAAAACTGTACCGCGGGAATGAGCTCAGGAAGGGAGGTCAAAGCACCAGCAATGTCATCAGCCTAATATAGCCTCTCTCTCCCCACCCCCCAGTAAGGAACAATGCTCGTTTTAGGATTCCTAATTAAAAATCTCTCTTCCTATATATTATGATACCATTTTTGTTGCATCCAGCTCTGCACTTGCCTCTTTCCAAGTCATAAAGTAATTGCATCAGTTTCTGGTTTTGCCACATTTACTCTTGATAAGGGAATCGTCCCATTACAACCTGATCCTTTTAAAATAAATAATAGCATTTGTTCGGTGGTTATGCCTCCCTTACACGTATGGGTGAAATCTGGGAGTACGGGGCTTATGTATTTCCTTCCCCATTGACAATAAAAGGCAACATTCAAATCAGGAAACCCTGCACTTATTTGAAAGCAGGGTCTCCCTTACCCTGGGTGTGAGAGGACGGAAGTCCCAAAACCCTGGGAACCATCCCTTGTTGGTCTAGCAGGTGCCAAACAACCAGAGTTGAAACCCAAACCTGCAAGGTAGTACAGCAGCCATCGCTGATATAGTCCCACCAGTCTGGGCCAGGAGGCTCCCAGAACCTTACCAGATACCCCTTGAGTTTCACAGGAGCAAGAGCTGGAAACCAGACTCATGCCCAGAAAAATTACTCAGTAGCAGTTTGGCCAAGAAACAGGACCCAGTACCAAGGACTTTCCCCAGGAACCACATGAAGATTGAAGAGGCAGATTTGTTCAACATAATTAAAAATAGCAACATAAAGAGAACTCATATGCCACTGAAAAAATACAATTGGAGAATATTACTAAGAGTGCAAGAGAACACAATTGCAAAATGAAAGAAAAATAGCAAAGCTCATTTAGCTGAGTTCTAATAGGATCAATGGACCCCACAGATGTCGGGGGAAATTGTACGGCAGCAGACAAGGGAATAGTGTAACTCCATACAATATGGCCTAGCAGCTGAACCAAGTCTTCCTAGCCAATCAGAAGACTCCCAGTTTGTAAATTTCCAAAACCTATGCGTGACCATGCCATCTCATAGCTGAGTCATCCCTTCCAATTGACAAGCCACTATTGTGGTCTTGAAGATGCAGCGCTGTCAAATGACATGCTATGAGATCATCTTCCAATTAGTGGGAAAGAAATAAAGGCCAACGTTCACCCAGAGGTCTTGAGTAAAGGAGCCATCTTTGCGGGCAAGGCCCAAACCGAAAAACCAAGGTATCAAACTCACTAGAAAACTTTCGATATTCAGGGTAAGGGATTGGTGATCTCCCAGGTCAGACCCCTTACATGCAGTGAGGCAGTAGGAGAGGAGCAGAAAGTGAAAAGAGGGAATAAAAAGCAAGTCCAATAGAGGCATTGTTGGCATATTTTCTTAGGGGCCAATGCAGCTAATTCTGCATTTCACATGAGCTCAAGAAGGTCTTCCACTCTCATCATGCAGGGAACTATGAAGCTGGGGATAATGTCGGGAAGGATCCGCACAAAGAATCAATGCTGGAATAGGTATTTTACGTGTCACGGTTATGCTCAAAGGGCAGGCATAATGAGCATCCTATGCTTTTTGGACTGCGCATGGTAATAAGACAAATATGAACACAAATCCAAACTCACATCTCTCATCATTTTCACAGCTTCCCTGGTCCTCCCCAGCTTTCTTGTACACATTGCCAGCCTCCTCTTAATGTAGACTAATACATTAGTGTCCCGTCCTGGGGAGAGAGAGGGAGAGAGAAGGAGAGAGAGAGAGAGAAAGAAGGAGGGGGGGGAGGTTTTAAGAGGATGAGTGTTTGCAGAAACAGACAGAACAAAGGTTCCATTTAACATCCTCAAAGTGTAAGGTATAACCTTTCCTTTGAATTCTTATTGCCGAATACCAAAGATATGTGGAAGGAAGCAATAAAAAGTACATAGACCAACAACCCTCGCTGTTAAGTTACAAAGATCTAGAGTTCGAACCTGCCCGTCAATAATAGGATTAGTCAAAAAGTACACTTATTAAAAAATTAATGCGAGGGTATTTCTTTAGCCCTCAATTCTACGGTATATACTGTTAACAATTCTAATCACCAATACAAGAAGAACTTACATGCGTGCCAAAATTATGCAAACTTCTATATCTTGCCTCACTTAGGTAAGTGTTTATCGTCCCTCAAAAGATTTCCATTTCTGATGAAGTTTAGCTACAAATGATTGCAGTGTGAACGACCCCATTGCTGTTGCAGGTTGCTTTCTGTACAGCTGAATCCAAATTTATTTATTTATTGAATTTGTTATGCTGCCCTTCCTTCCAAAGGAGTCGAGGGCTATCAACATCACCATGCAATTTAAAGAGTTCTGGTAAGAGGAGAGATGCTTTCAGCTACCAGTTTCAAGTCAGCCATCCCTCCAGGGCATTCTTTGTACACGGTAAACAGCCGATTGCCGCTCTTAAGAGTTCAGCCATACATAGCAGCACTGGAAAAGCCATTTGAATCTGAATTTGCTTTCTGTGCAATGGCGTTCTATGCATCACAAGCTGAGTCTGTTCAGTACCATGGAGAGAATCCCTTTTCTCTCTCTTTTTTTTGCACACTTTCAGAAGCAGTAGCATGTAAATACTGATTATATGAGCACCAGTGCTTGCAAGACAGGGTGCTTAAAGCAGGACAGGGGTGCAATGATCACAACAGATGGCCTGCAGCCATGAAGCACCCTACCTCGTGGCCATGAAAACAAGCCCCATTGAAGGATGAACCATACACTGAATGCCTAATATAAAATAAGAAGGCCACACCAACAAATGTTTTTAACAAAAAAAGCCCTAATGTCTCTATGGGGCTGGCTTGTTGCAATCAAGGGGAATGGGACATGCAAGTAGGATTGCTGCTGCTCAGGACCCAAAGTATTCCATTCCAGTCCCCGTCCAGGTTTTCCCGTGACCATCTCCCACCCCCAGAGTTGGTCAACATTCCATAGTCATTGATAACGTTCATTTTGGGGGGTTTTTTTGGGGGGAGAGGGGGGTCCCCAGTACAGTTTTTCTTGTAAAAATGATAGCCATTATTATTATTATTATTATTATTATTATTATTATTATTATTATTATTATTATTTCTGCAAGCTTTGGGGTCCCTCCAAGCCTGCCAATACCACACACGTGAATGAGTTGTTGCTACATGATTGACAGCACTCACAGCTTGAGCATCAGCAATAGACATGATGTGAGGTCTTTTCTTGTGGGACTTAACAAAGAGACACTTGTTATTCAACACTACACAGGGGGTACTGAGAAACTTATGGTCTTTCCCCATCCCAGCCATCCTCCTTCAGCCAGCCTAGAGGATGAAAAGGGGCAGGGGTGGAGAAACCATGAAAACTTTGGTGTATAGATTGGACTCTGCAGCCTTGGTAGACCAGGTGCGGCATGCAGCGTCCAGGTCTGCCTGCCTCCAAAGGGTGAAACTGAAAAGTCCTTTCCTTGCTTCAGGTCAAGGAAGTCAAATTCCTACACACACACACACACACACACACACACACACTATATATATATATAGACCAAGCAGCAAGATTTTCTGCCTCTGGTAGAGTTGTGTGAATATAAACATGCTGAACTCTTCCTTCACACTGAATTTACCCAGTTCCTTGGATATCATAAAGATAAAGGTAAAGGTACCCCTGCCCGTACGGGCCAGTCGTGTCCGACTCTGGGGTTGCGTGCCCATCTCGCTTGAGAGGCTGGGGGCCAGCGCTGTCCGAAGACACTTCCGGGTCACGTGGCCAGCGTGACAAAGCTGCATCTGGCAAGCCAGCGCAGCACACGGAAACGCTGTTTACCTTCCCGCTAGTAAGCGGTACCTATTTATCTACTTGCACCCAAGGGTGCTTTCGAACTGCTAGGTTGGCAGGCGCTGGGACCGAGCAACGGGAGCGCACCCCGCTGCGGGGATTCGAACTGCCGACCTGACGATCGGCAAGTCCTAGGCGCTGAGGTTTTACCCACAGCGCCACCCAATTTCAGCACTGACCGTTTAACAAAGAACAAATCAGGATTTTTTTCTCTCTTTTCAAAGACTTTTTTGAGAATGAGTCATCATACCCTTTCTTTAGTTGTAATATGCCCTCTTTTAAGGACCGAACAGAAAATGTTCATGTAGATAATGATCTATAGAGTCACAGTATTGAGACAACACACCTGTTGTGTTGCCATACATTGGCCTAATGTATCCTACTTGTCAACCAAATATTTGCAGATTATGGTCCTCACGTTTTGAAGTCTCTTCTAATCACAAGATATAAGCCAAAAGCATTCAGAATACATACAAATTATCCCAAAGCCATGATTGTACTTTTCAGACAGATTAAGCAACAGGTCTGACTTTCAAAGAGAAAATAAATAAGGCAGGAGAGGGAATTCCTTCAGCTGTAGTTCGTATTAAGTAACCACTTATCTCTAGAACGGTTCCTCAGTATTTAATAAAGGGCTCATTAGCCACATCTGTTTTCAACATGGTTATATATAACATAATTAGATTGGTTTGTCCTCCAAGCTGTGTTATAGTGACTTAAGGAATGGCCAACATGAAGTCAATAAAAGCTTCTATTGAAGACATTCTAAAATGGTCTTGGGCTGTAATCCTATCTACATTTACCTGAGAGTAGGTCCCACTGAATTCAATGGCACTTACTTCTGAGTAGACATGCATAGGATTACACTGTTATTTACAGAACATGAGGCTTTTCAGCATTTTCTGGAATACAAAATCATTTCCCTTGGTTGAATTGAAGAAAGCCAAGTTACAAACACTTTCACCCTGCCAGTCTTTGTGTTATCAGGAACAATTTGCATGGAATAGATAGAAACATGAGGTTGGGAGGTGTCAAAAGGATATTCTAAAACAAGATCCTTTGCAGGATCCATTTAATGGGCTAATAATCGAAGGAAAATCATCTAGTTTGTTGAGTGCCTCAAAAGCAGGTAAGGAACAAATAGTTCAATAGTAATTTTACCAACATCTGGCTAGATTTGTCATGACAATCATTTCTGGGTTCTGCTGTGTTTAAAATGTCACTGGGAAGAGATTTCTCTCTCTCTCTGCCTCACAGATGCCACATGCAAAGAGGCCCTCAGATGTCTCCTGGACTTTTTAATCCTAAAATCTCCCATGATAAGATCTTTTGTACCACCCAACATATCTGGAATTATCATGGGGTAAACTCGCCTGGCTGCCAGGCCCATTGTAGAACTTCTCTCCCTCTCCAACTCCTAAGCTTTTCATCTGCACTCAATACACACATTCCATTTCATTTTCTGCCTGAGATCACTGTGCCTGAAATGAGAAGCCATCCTTATCAGTGATCCCAATAAGGTCACCACCCACATTTTGTGAAATTTGAGCATTCTGTTTTATAGACATGCTGCTGATTGCTTGAATCAATGCTCTACACTGTTATTTCCATGTGCCCCAATGGGAGGCTCCTCACTCTAAAAACACATTTCATTTTGGGGAATGTGTCGTGAATAAACATTTCCTGGAACACGCTAGCTAGGTAAACAGCTTATGGAAATGCAGAAACGTCAAATCTTATTGGGGAGGGGGCAACTTTCCCACTTCTTTCCCACACTAAGTGGAAAAGTGACCTTCGAAATTGTTGCCGTGTTTCAGGCTTCTGTTTCCTAAAGTTCAGCAGGTTAAAATAAGCTGATCTCTTGCAGCTTCTTTCCAAATTTGGCAATGATTATTCCAGGCAACTTGTTGCACTCGTTTAAAAGTATCCTTTTGAATACAGATGGCCACAACTGGACGGCACATGTATCTTTGTTCAGTGGTACGAATGCTTCCTGGTACTTCTTTTTTCTTTTTTTTAAATAAATAAATTTTTATTAATTTTCCAAACACATAATGAAAACAAACAATACGCAAAACAAAAACATACAAACATATAAACATGTATAATTTCATAATCTTATTTTCATGCACCTTACTTCTCGGACTTCCCCATACCTCCCCTTTTCTGCATCCTTGTTTTACATTTCTTCAGCAACTCCTCCAATTAACTAATTATCATGTTCACTTTCATATAGGTTCTTTTTTAACTTATTAATTACAACTGTAATTCTCTATTTCCCAGATCCTTAACGTCTTAACACTCCTCAATTTTACAGTAATTTTTAAGATATATTTTAAATTTCTTCCAGTCCTCTTCCACTGTCTCTTTCCCCTGGTCACGGATTCTGCCAGTCATCTCTGCCAGTCCCATGTAGTCAATCACCTTCGTCTGCCATTCTTCCAGCGTTTCCTGGTACTTCTTGGCCACCCCAAGATAAATTGCTTTGTACAGACCATAGATTTGATTTCCTCCAAAGAATTCTGAAAACTGCAGTTTACCCTTCACAGACCTGCGGTTCCCATGATTCTATGGGGAAAGTCAGGTGAATCAAATGTATGGTTGTGTGCACAGTACTCCCAGTAACTGCATTTCCACACACACGCACACACACACACACACACACACACACACACACCAAACATATTTTATTATACCATACATGTGACTTCCCTTCCTCCCCTCCCAAGGTTCATTTAAATTCCCCTATGTTCCTGCATATTTTGATATATCCATCTAATTCCATTTTCCTACCTTACATCACTTCAATATTTATTACACCGTTTAATTCCAATAACTGCATTTCCATCAATAGCAGATGCCTCACATTTATGGAGCACAGCAGTAGGGAAATGTATCCCTAACTCCCTCACACCCTGCTGGCCAAGTCTGAAAGCTGAGTGGGACCACACACCTGTCAATAACCTGATGTCATAATGACATCATCAACTGACTGCTGCACCTTCAAAGGGGTTTGCTGCAACCTCTGATCCGCAGTTACAGGGAGCCCCCTTTTATGGAGGACAAGAAACAACCCTTTTCAATTATTGTTTAATTAAAGCTATAATTCTCAAAAATAGGTATACTGTATTCAGTGCTGTTTCTGGGGAGAATCGTGGTATATAACACACAACCCTGTGAAAAAGTGCTATTAGCCTATACAGTGGTGCCCCGCAAGACAAATGCCTCGCAAGACGGAAAACCCACTAGACGAAAGGGTTTTCCATTTTTGAGTTGCTTCGCAAGACAATTTTCCCTATGGGCTTGCTTCGCAAGACGAAACGTCTTGCTAGTCTTGCGATTTCCCCCCCGCTTCCCCCCCCTTCCTAAGCCGCTAATAGCCTTTTAGAAGCTAAGCCGCTAAGCCGCTAAACCGCTAATAGCGCTAATCTGCTAATAGGGTTGCTTCGCAAGACGAAAAAACCGCTAGACGAAGAGAATCGCGGAACGGATTCTTTTCGTCTTGCGAGGCACCACTGTAGTGGGGTAGCAGAGCTAAGAAATAATAATAATTCATATCTGGCAACCAACGTGCCACTTGCAAATAAAGAAGATTTGGGATTGAAATACTGCTCAGTCATCGAACTCACTGAGAAACCTAACCCTAACATCACACGGTAAGAATGAGGATAGTCCTCTGACCCCACAGAACACTCAGAAATCACTGGAGGAGGAATGGTGTACAAACAGCATGTAAATATTTTTTGAAATGCAAGTTTGAGAGGGGTAACTAGGTGTGTTAGGAAAGCTGAAAAAAAAATGCTGATATATTTCACATGTGGCAAACCAATACGCTTCTTTGGTTTCAGATGGTGCATGGGTAGAGGAGCCTAAAAAGCCAAGGGCACAAATTTTCACGGCCCTCTAGCGGCTATGGTGGCTCATTTACCTGAAGTAATGTATTTAGCATTCACTCTGAAAGTGTATACAGTGGTACCTTGGTTCTTGAACTTAATCCATTCCGGGGGTCCGTTTGACTCCCAAAACCATTCGAAAACCAAGACGCAGCTTCCTATTGGCTGCAGGAGCTTCCTGCACTCAAGCGGAAGCTGCATCAGACGTTTGGCTTCCGAAAAACGTTCGCAAACTGGAACACTTACTTCCGGGTTTGCGGCATCCAGGAGCTGATTTATTCGACAACTAAGTCGTTCGAGAACCAAGGTACCACTGTACTCGATTCTGAGCAAACAGCCTCCTAGAATTGAGTATACACTTCCATAGGCAATGGTTGCCAGATGTGAAATATATCGGCGTTATTTTCAGTTTTCCTACCCCACTACTAGCAACTATTTGTCTCTTGAAAGGTCTTGGGATTTTTAGTCGAAGAGAGACTAGCTTACTGTGTTGAGCTTCGTACTGGGCACCATGATGCTGCAGCTGTTGGCTACGCCTGTAGCAGCCTTCGCCAGCCTTCAGAGCCTGTTTGAACAACTTCTCTGCTTCCACAATAGTTGTTGCTTCCTCTTCTGCCAACAGAATATAGGCAGTGGCGCACCTGTCAGTGAAACAACAGAAACAATTATTAGTAAGACAAACTAGGAAAGGATAAAGCATTTTCTAGGCTATATCCAATTAACTCGTAGCTTTTGTCTGTCTTATTGCGATAGGAAGGTAAAGGGACCCCTGACCATTAGGTCCAGTCGCGGGCGACTTTGGGGTTGCGGCGCTCATCTTGCTTTATTGGCCAAGGGAGCCGGCATACAACTTCTGGGTCATGTGGCCAGCATAACTAAGCCGCTTCTGATGAACCAGAGCAGCACACGGAAACACTGTTTACCTTCCCGCCGGAGTGGTACCTATTTATCTCCTTGCACTTTGATGTGCTTTCGAACTGCTGGGTTGGCAGGAGCAGGGACCAAGCAATAGGAACTCACCCCGTCACGGGGATTTGAACTGCCGACCTTCTGATTGGCAAGCCCTAGGCTCTGTGGTTTAACCCACAGCACCACCCGCGTCCCTATTTGTGATAGGAAAGACGCCTGCAATTCCATGTGTTCATGGAGGCTCTCTGAAGCGTCTGCTATGCTGCGGTCTATCAGTGCTACTCCATTCACTTCACTGGAGAACAATTCTGCAAGGTATGTGTGAAGCCACCCAGCCACTTAAGCCAATGGCAGCAGCAGCAAGAGGCTGCAACCCAGACCTCTGCATAAACAAGGGACTCCTATTCCCATTAATAGAGACTGCAGCCTGTAAGTTTCATTTGAACTGGCCAGGACCTGGACCTATTGCTTCTTCTCCCATATAGAGATCTTACCACAAGTAGCTGTCTGAAATGCAGGTTCTATGTGACACAAGTAAGGGTGTGATCCATGCTATAATAATAATAAATACTAAATTTTTATTTATACCCTGCCCTTCCCGGTTCGGAAAACCGGGCTCAGGGTGGCTAACAACCAATTTAAAACACTTAATTGTAAAAGCAGCATAAAATACAGTATAAAAACATGAATAACAATAAAATTCAAAGTTCAGAAATCAATTTGGGGGAAATCCATCTAATAAGCATTAGATAGTCACCAGGGCTAGCTGGCTGAATTAGTCCTACTTGGGCCAGCGAGGAGGCCAGGGGAGAATTAGCTGTGGGGTCTCAGAGTGGGTAATCTTCATAAAAGGGGAGGGGGAGGGAAGAGAAGGGAAATAAAAGATCAGGCTGAATTCAAATTAAAGGCCAGGCAGAATAGCTCTGTCTTACAGGTCTGGTGGAAGGAGGTTAAATCCTGAAGGGCCCTAGTCTCATGGGACAGAGCATTCCACCAGGTCGGAGCCATCACTGAGACGGCCCTGGCCCTGGTGGAGGATAGTCTGACTTCCTTAGGGCCTGGGACCTCTAAATTATGGTTATTCATGGACCTTAAGGTCCTCTGCAGGACATACCAGGAGAGGCGGTCCCGTAAATCCACACTATCACCAGGCCAGAAATCCCAGGCATACAAAGCTGGGACTCAGGATATGGCACAGTCCAGCAAGCTGTGCAGCATTTGCAATAACTGTTGTGGCCAGTTAGATCCATTGCAATAGGTCCCAGCCAAAAATAGTGTCTACCTGAAGCTCCATTCGTTCTGCGACTTAGCAGACCACTGGCACTCAGTGCAGAGCGGCTGGTATGCAAAGCCCCAATAAGGAGGCAAGGAGCCACTGTCCAGACACATAGCACATGCATAGTTCTGCAAAGCAAAATTCTGTGCAGGATTGTGTTCCAAATAAATAACTGGCAATACATCGCTGGATCAGAGTAGGTCACTATTTTTAACTTGAAACATTCGAAATGGAGCCCAGAAAATACAAAAACAATTGAATGCGTATTTTATTTTAAAGGAATAACAAAGTCCATGTTTGAAATAAATAGGCCTCAGTATTAGCAGAATTTCTCCTGCTCTTAGGTAAAGGTAAAGGGGCCCCTGAGCATTAGGTCCAGTTGTGGCAGACTCTGGGGTTGCGGAGTTCATCTCGTTTATTGGCCGAGGGAGCCAGCATACAGCTTCTGGGTCATGTGGCCAGCATGACTAAGCCGCTTCTAGCGAACCAGAGCAGCACACGGAAACGCTGTTACCTTCCCACCAGAGCGGTACCTATTTATCTACTTGCACTTTTGTGCTTTCGAACTGCTAGGTTGGCAGGAGCAGGGACCAAACAACGGGAGCTCACCCGGTCACGGGGATTAGTACCGCCGACCTACTGATCGGCAAGTCCTAGGCTCTGTGGTTTAACCCACAGCACCACCCTGCTCTTATTTCACGACTAAAAACTACTTTGCCATGCAAGCACCAGCAGTTAGCACCAACAGATGAAAAAAGAATTATAGGTCCTTCCCTATTGCCCACCGTTTGCAAATTTGGAGAACTACCTCACTTTGTACCTCACCCTCCCAAAGATAAGAAATTAGCATGAACAGTCTAGATCAGGGGTGGGGACAATCTTTTAATCTGATGGCAGTGTTTCCTCATTAGGGAATCTTCCGGGGGCCACATGGAGGCTGAGGCCAGAGGCAAAAAGAGGGTGGCTTTCACTCTATTTTTTTACAGTAGGCTGCATCGCAGCCACTCACAAAAGCCAGAGGTTGCTACACCGTCCTCCATCCTTCTCAACAAACAAGAGGCAGTATCACAGTTCAATAAGACATTAAGGTACCCAAGGAGAGCGTGGAACAGGGCCATTGAAGTGCATGGCTGGGGAGAGTTCTGGGGGCCAAATAAGAGGCTTGGAGGGCCTCTTTGGTCCCCAAGGCTGTAAGTTTCCCACCCCTGTTCATGATCAAGCAAAAACATTTTCAAACGACTGTTGAGATACTTACTCATTTAGCTCTAAGGCTTCATGCGCTGCAGAAATTCTGGCCTGCGGATTTCTCTCCCTCCACGCTTTTTGCATTACTGTTGAGCAAAGTATTTAAAAATAAATAAAAATAGAGGAGGTGATTTGACAGGACGCAACTGTAGTCAAGCATTTCGTTGGGGCATTTTATCAGGCAAATGTCTCGACGCACCTTCTCTCCAAACCTCAGGTTTGCTCTTTTAACGTGTCCAGAGGAAGAGGAACCTTACATCTGTGCAGTCAATGTTAGAGGAAACGACAGAAAACGTGCCAAGAATGGTTTGCTCAGAAATCAACAATGGAAACCAGATTTGGCAAGTGGGCAGGACAACCCATCTGTCAATCAACTTATCTCAGATGATGGGCAGGTAGGGTGCCCTGCCCACCCACCAAAGTCCCTTGCACAATGATTTGCCCTATGCTCATCTCCTTTCCGCAGTGATTGGCTGTGTGGCTCAGCTCCCCCCACAGGGAACTCGGTCGCACATCTGATCCAGCTACATCTCCACTTCCTGATGTCACGCTGGATATATGGGGAAAGTGGGTGGGGTTTGGGGGAAATGGCCTTGCAGGCCAAATCGGGACGTGTGCTGGTCCAAATCTGGCCCGCAGACCACAAGCTCCCTGTCTCTTGTACTACAGCAGAGTTTCCCAAACTTGCGTCTCCAGCTGTTTTTGGACTACAACTCCCATCACTCCTAGCTACCAAGACCAGTGGTCAGGGATGATGGGTCCAAAAACAGCTGGAGACCCAAGTTTGGGACACCCTGCGCTAAAGCAACGTGAGACGAAATCACCACACAAGAAGCACTATCCTAAAAGGAAGATTTTTGGAGAAAAGGCAAGAATACATACTAGTGGTACCTGCAACCAAGTGTTGCAGTGTGGAGGGCTTCAGCTATTCCAGGTCATTCCCGCTCCCATTTGGTTTTCTGTTTCCTCCCATAGTGTTAGTATTTCATGGTCACTGACCATGCCCAGACATTATCAGGCTGTTTTCTGAGCTCCCCCCCCCCACTGCTAACCCTAACCCTACTGACATGGGTGGTACCATTTCAACTAGATAAGCAGCAGCACTCTGTTGGGATTTTTGACTACGTGAAATCTGATGCAGCTTCCCATAGAAGCACTTAAGGAGTTGGCCGAAGGCCAAGAAGACTGAGCAGAGGGAGTCATTCTGCCTAGGGATATGGGACCTTGGATACAATTCTGCTATTGGTCGAGGTCACCACATAGGCATGATGACTCATGACCTTCCCTGGTTGGTTGGTTGATCAGTGTGTGGTTTGAGAGTTCGTTTTGGAGTTTGTTCAGTGAGAGAGTTAAGATCCGTGTCTGTATCCTGTATTTAGTCACTTGTGAGTCTGCTGTATAAACCTATAAACTGTATAAACCTTATAAACCTATAAGTAACCAAGTTACTGGTAGCAGCATCTTGTTCCTGCTTCATCCTGCCTGCTACTGACTGCTTCTGGACAGTCTGCGTATGCTCTGCTTTATTCAACAGGTTCTGGCTAAGATCCTTCAACACACTCACACTTCAAATCTGAAGTGCTGAGAACCGTAATTTAGACAAGCACTCCAAGCAAGCGGTTTAGACACAAGCAAAGACAACAGATTAGTGATCTGAGACACCTTGCCCCTATTTTCTTGGAAGTAAACTTTGCTATTCACTCCAAGTCATACGTTTCCAAGCACACTTATTAGTAAACTCCTTACTGGCATCTGCAGGCCTTAAGTGGTCCGTATCGCACGTGAAGAAGGTCTGGTGATCTTGCGCCGAAAGATTCATATCGTAGTATGTCAGAGGTTCCCTTCCCGTCACCCAGGTATACCTGGAGAGAGTATAAAAGAGAGTACAAGAAATAGCAGAAGCCGCCTTCGCAAATTCATCGGAAGATCTTCCCCATGGGCCATTCCAAATTCTCAGAAATCTTCTCATACCCTTTTCATCCTACTGGATATACCGAGCCCTCTTCATCCTACTGAAATGGGGGCCCATCAGACCTCTCCCTGTGCTTCTCCCAGCCCTGCTCCCAAAGGATCTTTCTAGGCTGGAATTTGTCCTTAAACCACAGATATTGCCTCCCGCTTACCTGGATGGAGAATGTGTGTGTGTGTGTGTGTGTGTGTGTGTGTGTGTGTGAGAGAGAGAGAGAGAGAGAGAATGAATCTTTGCATTTTCTTCTCGACAACCTTCAGAAGGAAGGGGTGCGTAGGACCAGAAGCAAAAGTGGGTGAATCAGTGAATATAAATCCAACCTTTGTACAGTAGGCTAGTTTCTACACACACTCACAGACCCCCTGTATATCCTCTATCCAGGCAAGTGAGAGTCATTGTCAGAATTCAAGGATGCAATCTAACCAGGCAAAAATACTCAAGGAAGCAGATTTAAGGCAATGCCCCCCCCAGGGCACCCAGCTCAGAAGGTGACTTCCTGCCTCCTTCCCAAAGGCATGAGGACTCTGACAAGGTCCACTTCCTTCCAAAGCCTAGTTTGTGCTTTCCCAGCTTCGGGAAGGAGGTGGGAGGCCTCTAGGAGCCTGTCAGGACCCTCATATGCCTCCTTCACAAAGCCCAGCATCTCACTTAACTGGGTTTGGGAAGGTGGTGCGAGGACTTGACTGGGTGGCGTCAAATTTTGGCCTGGCACATTGCACCATTGTTAGCAAGGTCTGCCCCTGATGTGTAGCAAGGTGGGCGAGGGGTGTGGCCTAGGAAAAGAGGGAGTGGCTATGGAGTGAGCTGGGGGGGATGTGTGATAAAGAGGTCTGGAGTGGTTGCACTTTTGACCCACTAGGCCTGTGGCTCTTCATCCTTGTCATCGGGGAAATGCAGCTTTCAGGCTAACAAAAAAAAGGGGGGGGTTCTGGCCCTGTACTAAGCCATGGTTTAGTGTTAAGTGTGAATGCATATAATAATTATAATAATAATAATTTATTATTTGTACCACACCTATCTGGCTGGGTTTCCCCAGCCACTCTGGGCGGCTTCCAACAAGGATTAAAAATACAATATATGTGAAACCTGTCCACTGTGCTGCTCGGATAAGCCCCAGGTTATTCTGTGACAATGAACGAGTGCTCAAACATAACTTTTAAAAGTGGCTACTGTGCTTGAATGACAATTCTGTGCAGCACTTACCGGTTATATTCAGCTCCTCTAAACAGGTTTAGTGGATTTCGCCAGACTTTGCATTCTGTAACAATGGAAAAATATACGCGCCTTCTAATTACCAGTTAATGCTACTGTTTATTTGAAAACAAAATTGCCTTCAAATTAAGTCATTCCAGGTGCATTCCAAGCTTCTAAAAGAATACCAGGCGAATATACAGGTGGTATCCAACAGATGGGCGCCATTGGAGGGCCTGTGATATTTGCCCACAGTATATACATCTGGAGTGCTTCTGTGATCCAATGAATTATTAGTACATATATGAACAAATGAAGCTGGCCTGCTGAATCAGACCACTGTTCCATCAGTCCTTGCATTGTCTGCTTTGATGGCGACAGTCCTCCAAAATTTCAGAAAGAGATTGTTCACAGCCCTCCTATTTCTAACTGTGAAATGGCCTGGAAGTTAGTTGTTGCCGGCATTATTCTGTTCCAAAAACCAAAGACTGTGTTGTGGGACATGTAGGTTTGTATGTCTGAATAACCTGCCCAGTACAAGTAGTATTACCTAGAAGAGGGAAGTAGCAGGTGCTGGAAATTCATCCACCTTTAGCAGAAAGTGTGTGTAAATTAATTGGTATGCTAATTTACAAGAATCATGAGAATTGTTGTAGAGGGGGCTTATTAAGAGTTCCCAGAGTTTCTGACTGGGACTCATGGTAGTTAAAGAAGACTTTGGGGAGCGATATATGTGTAGATGCGATTTATATCGTATTGACTTTTCTGGCTTATAGATATAAACATGTGGCACTATAGCCAGTGGCAGGGGGGCAATGCTTACCTGATCTCCCACCACTGGTGTTGTTGCAGTTTATTTGTTGTTGCAAATGCACTTGTAGGAAAAGCATGGATATCTTTTGTTATGATGGCACTTTTGGGGGGTGAGGGTGGGATGGGGAATACATATTATATGTACCTACAGGACTGTCTCTCCTGGTATGCCCTGTGGAGGACCATAAGGTCCACAAATGACAACACTTTGGAGGTCACAGGTCACAAGGTGGTTAAATTCGTCTCAACTAGGGCCAGGGCCTTTTCAGTACTGGCCCCAACTTGGTGAAACGCTCTGTCAAGAGCCTAGGGCCCTGCGGGACTTGACATCTTTCCGCAGGCCTGCAAGACACAGCTGTTCCACCTGGCCTTTGGTTTGGACTCAGTCTAACCCTTATGTTTCCCTCCCCTTACGGTTTTGATCTATGGGCTACTTTTAAAATGAGGCTGCATTTTAAATTGCATTTTAACCTGTATTTAAAATGGGGTTTTTTCTGTTATGTTTTTATTGTAATTTTACTGGTGTTAGCCACCCTGAGCCCGGCCAGGGAGGGCAGGGTATGAAAATTATTATTATTATTATTATTATTATTAGCCAGAACAGCTAAAATATATTCTAAAGTCTGACACCAGGATGAAGGAACACTAGGAGCAGCTTCAACTGGGGAAAAGTCGACTTGGTGAATAAATTCATTCCTAAAACCACTCACATTTCAATTTCTTTTTAAGTCAACATTTCAATTTCTTTTTAAATCAACATTGGTCCATTTCAAAGTCAAAAATGGAAGCTTGCAGGTGAGAAGATATGTAGCTAATCGTTTGCTCTAGGTGGCTTCTGAGGTGATATGCTATTTGAGTTCTTGCAAAGTTTGTTCCGCTTCCTCTGCCAGAACAAAACAAGCTACAAATAGATTGGAGGCAGTAACTCACTTCCCCTAGGGAGCCACTGGCTGAAGGACCCCAAGATGCCTCTGAGATCAGCATCCATACCTGAAGGCTGGAAACGTGAGCGATAATAGAACACTTAAAACAAAACAAAACAAAAGAATCCAGGACATTGCAGGTTTGCTGTCAATGGTAATAAACATAACCCATGATTGTTCTTGCATTTTAAAAGGACATGCTATTATAGTTAACAATCTGCGCAGGACAAGCGGAATTGTCTTACCTGAGACACTCTGCCGATTTGCATCAGAATCCCCGTTGCTTGTATTTGAGTTGTTGGGAGAGTTGCTGTCCACCCCTCCCAGCAGAGGGCGCAAGTGACTCACCGAGACTTGCTCAATGAACGAGGTCCCATACTTGCGAAAATACCACCACTCAAATATCTAAAAACAGAAGCGAATATGTGCATTCATTAGTTTGTTTTCCTTAACTCCAAAGTAATTCCCACTTGTGTTTTCTTTTAAGCTCTGATTCTATATTTAAAGGTATTTTTTGGATGAATCGTTATCCTTATTCAGTGCCATCAGTATATGCGGTATTGCTTTATAAATCATAACCTTGCAGAGATTGATAGGGTGCTACACCAAAAGCAACCAACATACTAAAACAGGCTTTGTGGAAAACAGGGAGTGTGGGAGAGACACAAGGGGAAACTGTTTGAAAGAGTATTTGAAAGGCTGCCAATTCCAAATTCAGTTTAAAGACACAAAACAATGAGAAGACAGAACAGGGGCCTCAAAGTTGCCCACTGACATTTAGCACCTGGACAGCTTAGCTCACCTGGTTAGAGTGTGGTGCTGATAATGCCAAGGTTGCAGGTTTGATCCAGCTGCATTTTCCTGCATAACAGGGGGTTGGACTAGATGACCCTCAGGGTCCCTTCCAACCCTACGATTCTATGATTCTAGGTGACTGAGCAGGAACCTAGTTCCTTGCCCCCAGCTAGGGTGAGATGCACTGCATTTGTATTTAAATTCTGGTATTTATTTCTGAATTTGCATCTATAAATATAAATTAGCATATGCAACTTATATGCAAATCTGTGGCCTCTTTTCCTCCCCTTGTTTGGTGATGCATTTCTTCTTTGGGTGATGCATAAGTGGCCACCTATCATTGGCAAACATATAATGGGAAATAACTGCAAAGCCACAGAGAGCTTTAAACGGAAGGTCCGGGGGTCTGTGCTCAATACAGAAGCAACCGAGAAGCTATTTCTCACCTATTGCTCATAATTTCCTTTAAAAATCCACAAATATCCATCTATCCATTCCTGGGTCTGTCTCACCTCCCTGCTCTGGAGCTACTTGGAGTACTTAATTAGCCACAGGATTAATCCCTGGCATCTCGTTAAAGCAGCTCAGGTAGCCGAGCTAAGAAAGGCCTGAAATATTCAAGAGCTTCTGCCAGTCCGAGCAGACAATACTGGGTTGAATGGTCCGATTCATAGAAGTCAACGTTATATGCTAAAAGGGAAATGCCTAGCCAGTTATTACGAAGAGGCTTCTTTGCTGGTTTCTGTCCCTTTCATAGATTTTGTTTTTCATTTTCTCACCCTCTGGAAAAAGAAGATCTACAGCAGAATTTTCTCCAGATATTCTCCACCATTTTTGTGTGTGCGTGTGTTGGTTGCCATTTGCCTCCCCCACCCCCCAAAGTGTCCTAGAATGATGCAATATTGTGGAGAGTGAAACATTGTGACCACGCTGCTCAACACGGTTGCAACATCAACAACTTTAAGGTGGGCGGAGAGAATGCAGCTCCATGTCTTCTGCTGACAAGTCCCACCCCTGTGAAATAGGAGAAATTTGGTGAAATGGCATCCCCTAAAACTTCTCTGTCTGCAAATAGGTTGCAGAATTAAAAGGGGGATGTTTGCATACAGTGCTCTTTTATGTATCCTGAATAGGATCTGCATTGAATATCTGGGGTGAGTTATGTGAACTGAATATATGTTTGGGGTGATTATTCAACATCAGCTTTGTTGGTGCGGGTGACTGATGATCGTCTTCCAAAGCAACTACTCTATTCCGAACTTAAAAATGGAAAGCGTAATGCTGGTGGTCAACAAAAGAGGTTTAAAGACCGTTTCAAGGCAAATCTTTAAAAATGTAGTATAAACACTGACAACTGGGAAACACTGGCCTGCGAGTGCTCCAGTTGGAGAACAGCCTTTACCAAAGGTGGCATGGGCTTTGAAGACACTCAAACTCAGGATGCAAAGGAGAAATGTGCTAAGAGGAAGGCAAGCTTGGCAAATCCACACCATGATCAACTCCCACCCAAAAACTAATGTCCCCACTGTGGAAGGACGTGTGGATCCAGGATTGGCCTCCACAGTCACTTACGGACTCACTGTTAAAACCGTGTTTATGGAAGACAATCTTACTCGGCTATGAGTGATCGCCAAAGAGAGAGAAGAAAGAAGAATGTGAGGGGAGCCCAAACTGACTCGGCACTTTCTTGACCCCTTCTCAGTAGCCTTACATGACAACGTACATCACAGCACAAAGCAAATCGTAATGCCGTAGTGTAAACAGCAGCAGCACTAATGCAGCTGTAGCATCTGACCCTTTTTCCTACATTTGTGGGACCTCTGGCCCAAAGTATGCTTGCAAAGGATGTAGCTGTAAGCCAGCTGCTTTCTCCATATGACGTTGGGTTACATGCCTCAGACATCAGATGACCTTGCCATATCCTGCCCACCTACTACAGCCAAGCATAACTTCTTAGCACCATCAAGTGAGGGGTTATCACTCTTCTTCATACTTGTATCCTGGCTTGGCAGCAACCGAAGCAGTTTACAGTTATTACTTAAATAATTATTCAGCGTGGTTAAAACAAAATATTGAACAATTTCAGTATCTATCAACTTTGATTCTAAAGAAAGGCATAATGAAATGATAAAAATATATAAATTAATATAACTGCCAATATCCCTGAGCTAGCAGTACAAGAAATAAAATAGTAAGGGCTGCTTCCCCATCACCACATCTTAATGCAATGTAATGTGCGGCTGATAAATTAAAACAATGTGAATATTCTTAATCACTTCCAGTTTAAAGTTATTAGTATCATTGTTATTTGCATATGAAAAGGAAGGCAGCCAAACACTAATTTCTCTCTGTGAATTCCTGCAAAAATGGCCAAGTCGTGCTTTGAAAGCCTTCATCTTACTGTCCTAATTGTTGGGTCTCTTTAAAAAAACAACAACAGACAGCTCCTCTTCCTATAGTATCTACTCTCCAAGCCTCTTTTGTTCACACCTACAAGGGAAGTTTTAATTTCTCTGAAGGCTAACCATATGCCTTGAGGTGCTATCTGTTCAAGGAATACTCAGGATACATTAATTAATTCTGTAATGATCTCCCTCTTGCTTGAAAACAACAACAGCAAGGCAAGGCAGGTCTCTAAACCCTTTGGCAAATGTCGTTATTCTTCAGAGATTTCTTTTGTGAATAAGCCTTAAGTAGCAGCGAGAGGCGCTGAAGAGAGATTGCAGCTCTGCTGAACACATTGTTTGCACGTCCTTTCGGCATGCACTGGAACACGTGAAAGGCATGAATTTCAAAGCAGGCAAAAAGTCTAAGGTCCAGTCCTTGGCATCTCCATCTTGAACCCCTCTTGAACTCCTGAAGAGCTGCTGGCAGTCAGTCTACTAGAATGTTCCAGTGACAGAAGTCAAGCTCAATAAGGATGCTCTTCTTGATGACTGTTTTAGGTGACTAAGCTTTCTTAAAAGAAACTTTCTCAGGAAGATACCTAATATAATGCTCAGGGTGGAGTTACCTTCAGTGAATTGAGGTCCAGGACCTTTAACAAAACCCACTACAGTTGTACCTTGGTTGTTGAACACCTGGAACTCGGACATTTTGACTCCAGAATGCTGCAAACCCAGAAGTGATTGTTTGTGAATGTTCTTTTGGAACCCAAACGTTCGACAGGGCTTCCGCGGCTTCCGACTGGTAGACTCGGGTTGGATATATGTGTAAATAAACCATATATCATAAAGACACCACAGTCTCCACTGTGTCTCATTGCCCAACGGAAGACACAGACTGTGGGCTAAGCAACCCCTGAAATCCCTTGGAGACTGGGGTAGCATGGCACAATATAAATAGGATTTTAAACAATGTACTGATTTTGAACTCTGCTGCAGAAAACGCTGTGGTGGTTCCTATTGGCTAGGGGTTTAAAAGATGGGATTGGCCAATATGAGAAGATTGACAGAAACAGGTTGGCAAGTGAAGCTCTCTACAGCTGAAAATGGAAGCACGCAAGGCACGAATTTTGTCTTTTGAAAATGAAATTTTAGGTTTGAAGATGCTAGAGACCACACAGCCCATGGCAAATGCAAATTCTTTTAGGTACACAGAGACACAAAGTTGGAGGCAGGTGTGTAGGGAAGAAATAGCAAGAAAGATCAGATTTATTTATTTTTTACATGTGGAATCTGACGTTCAAAAGTTTATAGACAGAAGTAGTAAAATGCAACAATTTTACTCACCAAAATAAGCCCAGATATTAATGAAGAAGTTCCTGTGAGAGCAACGTAGAACTTGGGCGTCAATGTGTTCAAAAACATACTCACTAAAAGAGAAAAAGAAAACCACTTAGTATAGGACATTTTCTAACCTTTTGCAGTTCCAACATTTGCAAGTCAAGTTAAAAGAAAATTTCTTGCTTTTTGAAAACATCAGAAACCAGAGCATGTTGCATTCTATATGAAACCTTAAAGGTGAAGGTAAAGGGACCCCTGACCATTAGGTCCAGTCGTGACAGACTCTGGGGTTGCGGCGCTCTTCTCGCTTTACTGGCCGTGGGATCCAGCATACAGCTTCCAGGTCATGTGGCCAGCCTGACTAAGCCGCTTCTGGTGAACCAGAGCAGCGCACGGAAATGCCGTTTACCTTCCCACCGGAGCGGTACCTATTTATCTACTTGCACTTTGATGTGCTTTCAAACTGCTAGGTTGGCAGGAGCAGGGACCAAGCAACGGGAGCTCACCCTGTCGCGGGGATTCGAACCGGCAACCTTCTGATCGACAAGTCCTAGGCTCTGTGGTTTAACCCACAGCGCCACCCGCGAAACCTTAATGCTTCCTATATCCAGCACAAAGCTGGACTAGAGAGGGCAGAGCAACATAAAGGCATTCAAGCCTTTGCTTCTGCAATCTATCTAGGCAGCTTTAATCTACCTTCTGGAAATGACATGAAAGACAGAGATTAACGAAAAACCTAACATTGACTGCCAAATACATTCAGCATCCTTCTGCCAGCATATAGATGCGAGCCAACAAAGTTATGCTAGTATCTTGCTCAACCTGTCTCCTGAGCGCTGTTCTGTATTACAGTGTTAACAAAACCTAGCAGGCAAGCACGGAAGATTTCATGTCAATACTTCCCTTTCAGATCCCTTGCGTTAGCTAAGCAGCTACAGGATGTCATAGCAAGGCAAAAGCACAGCCCGAGCCAAGTGTGATGCAGAAATGCTTTCGTTACAGAGAGTGACTATTCCTGTATGTCACTGGAGCACAATGCTTTATGCCAGCACAATCAAGGGTTCTTAAGAATTTACTGTGCATGAAACCATTTGAACTGAAAGATGGGTCTTGTTTTAACAACTGGAGCTGCCTGCTGCACATCTTTCTAGCCTTCACCTCCTTTGTCAACCCTTGTTTCTGTTCTTTAAAATCCCACCCCCTTAGTTGCATGTCTTTAGGGAGGGAAGGAAATTATTGCATAAATTGCAATTTAAAAACAGCACAGCAAAAAAACCCAAAAACCCTCTGGGAGAACATTTTTCAGTTCACCTGTATGCAATGCCAGTAATTTCCACATCTTGCAGTGCAGACCATAATATAGGGGTGGTCATCCCGTAAGCCTCATGACCAAATGGGAATTAGAACTTGCGTTTTCCCAGTAATAGCCCCCAAATCTAATCACCTTGGACTCCCTTTACTGTCTGCTTCTGCTGCCTGAGCAGGAATAGAACAACTTCAAGCAAAAGGGGAAAGTTGGCTTAGTCACCAGTGCCATGCCTTTTTCCAGCCCCTTCCTCAAAGATTCACTCTCTTATTGCTTACTCATTTAGAAACGTACATCCCCAATGCTTCAGTATACCTGAAGGAGCGTCTCCACCCCCATCATTCAGCCTGGACACTGAGGTCTAGCTCTGAGGGCCTTCTGGCAGTTCCCTCACTGCAAGAAGTGAGGTTACAGGGAACCAGGCAGAGGGGCTTCTCAGTAGTGGCACCCGCCCTGTGGAACACCCTCCCTTCAGATGTCAATGAAATAAACAACTATCTGACTTTTAGAAGACATCTGAAGGCAGCCCTGTTTAGAGAAGCTTTTAAGGTTTAATAGATTGTTGTATTTTAATATTCTGTTGGGAGCTGCCCAGAGTGGCTGGGGAAACCCAGCCAGATGGGCAGGGTATAAATATTAAATTGTTGTTGTTGTTGTTAGTATTATTATTCCACCAGGACTATAATAAGGCTTTCACACACAAACACTCATCAACCTGATGGGTGGGATATAAATTTATTATTATTATTATTATTATTATTATTATTATTATTATTATTATTATTATTATTATTATGCTTTTTTAAAAAAAGATCTAATTTTCTTTTGCTAAGCATAAATCACAACCTGCTTCAGACAGCATATTAAAAACATTTTGAGGGAGCTTGCTCTCGCCAGTCGGACCCTTCCCAAGGTGATGGCTGGGAGCCACGCAAGAGCTGCTTAAAAACTGCCAGTGCCAAGGCATAAGCAGGCGCCCAAGGAGTGCTGGGATGCAAGATCTAGGTGTCAGAGCTGAGGTGTGCACAGAAACACACCGGAGCCAGGGAGACACTGCTGCGTAGCCCAAGATACAAAGCTCTTTGTAGCCCTCTATGGAAGTTCAAGTGGGCCCCAAGGCCTGCGGAGGGAAGGAAGTGCATGGCTTGAGAATACTTCAAGTTGCAGCAGCAATAGTTACTGCAGCGACACACAAAATCAAAGGCTCCTGGGTTCATGTGCTCGCTTCCGCAGCACATATACTAAAATTGGAACGATATAATCAAAGGCTCCTGGGTTCAAGCCTTGGCAGGTCCTAATGAGACTCGCAAGAGGAGATGGCTCTCAGTTGTAAACCCGTGTTTGCATATTACCAACACACATTGTAAAGAGGGGCTCAAAAGGCCAAATTTTCTTCTCAGTAACAAAGCTAGGAAAATAAGTGTTCTAGCCTAACTGTGCTATTTTTTTATGTGAATGATCCCCGCCCCGCCCCCGCCTTTCTTTTTTAGTATGAAGGAATGTTCAGCTGTATGAGTTGTATATGCTCTAGCATATAGAGACGTATCATGGAGAACTAGTCCAATACGCATAATCTATGTAAACTCATGAGTTACTCTTCAGTCTTCAACCTCAGCAGTCCAGTTCTTATCTCACTCTGGGATTTTAAATCTTTCTTAACCCGCAGGAGAGTGGAGGAATCAGGGTCAAACAGCATCTTCACACACATTTTAAACAAGAGACACTAGCATGGCCAATCTACTCAAGACTGTGTTCCCTTCCCATCATTTCCTTCGTCCAAAGACCACACAAACCCTTCTGCCTCATTTATTGATCAACTGATTCATTGATTTATTGTACTGTATTTATTGTCACACAGTACAAATAAAGGAACGTTGTGAAACTAAGGTGGGGGACAATGTTGTGAGTGTACAGTGGTACCTCTGGATACGAATGGGATCCGTTCCGGATCCCCGTTCACATCCTGAAGCAAATGTAACCCATGCCTGCAGGTAGTGATTCGCCGCTTCCGCGCGTAACGTCTTTTTGACTGCGCATGCGCGAGCAGCAAAACCCGGAAGTAACGCATTCCGTTACTTCCGGGTCGCCGCAGAGCACAACCCAAAAGCGCTCAACCTGAAGCATATTTAACTCGAGGTATGACTGTATTTAATAAAAACTTTTATCAAATTCTTTAGTTTTCTAACTGCAAGGTTTGGCTAGGATTCTGTGTGCGACAGAAAAAACACACCCCCTCATTGTATAATAATATTTTTAGCTGAATATTCCTGATTCATTCTGGAGGTACTGGGTGTCCCTGTTTGGAGGTATTACACCCGATGCTTATTTCCTTGTTTCAAGCGCAGCAACCATCCGGTTTCCTTTTTTTCTTGCAGGACGAAAATGCACAGTTCGTCAGGCTCCAGTTCCTATAAAATGCAGCTGCAGAAAAGTCGACGCACCACATGAATCTAAATGCTTGCTAAACAGGCCCTTGCCAGGCAGCTGCAATTATGCTACATCTCTAAACTGCTGCGCTAATTTATTTCACTGCATATTAGGCTCACTAGATGAGACGGTGCTATGGAGAGCAACAAAGGAAATAAGTGCTGCTTGCCATAAAACATTTGACAGAGCTATAAAAATGATCAGTATCTTGGCATATGCGGCTGTCTCAACAAGCCAGGAGGAGCATTCAATTGCTAGACCTTTGCGGGGAGCGCTAACTATGATAACAGGCTTCTTCTCCATTTTAATATATGCATCCTGTTATGACAAAAGTTGTATTTGTCAACTTTCCCTCTCCAACATTTATTTTTTGTCAATATTTCCATAATCTAAATAATATGCATAAGGAAGCACATATGATTATTATTTTCCTGGTTGTCATACAGATTTGATTTCAGTCAAAAGCACTTTGTCAATGAGTGTGTGTGTGTGTGGGAGAGAGAGTTATAGTAGTTCTTCACTATGGGTACGTAGCCTGTTTACATGGCACAAAGGTTTATGAGGTTAAGCTTTATTGAGAGCAAAGCCAACGAACTAAAACCCATTATCGGGAGTCATTTAATGTGATTAATGGCTTTGGTTCTTTGCAAACACCTGGTCAGCACATTTCTCTCTTCTTGTACAGAGGGTTTCCCTCGTCTCTTGAGAAAAGCAGAGCAACTCCAGCTGCACTGATTCTATGTGCTTTCAGTGTTTACAAGAAAGGTGGCTGATTATGACCTATGGTCAGTGCAAAAACACTGAATGACAGCAAACAGTACCTTTGCCAGCTGCAAGATCTCCCTCATATTGACACCTCAGGGTTCTCCCAGAATACTCACTTATTGAGTATTCGTCCTGATTTGTTTGCAGGGAGATTAGAAGATGTTGGTTAGTTAATTAGAATTACTGTCGTACCTCAGAAGTCAAACGGAATCCATTCCAGAAGTTTGTTCGACTTCCAAAACGTTCAGAAACCAAGGCGCAGCTTCTGATTGGCTGCAGGAAGCTCCTGCAGCCAATTGGAAGCCGCGGAAGCCCCGTCAGACATTCGCCTTCCAAAAAAGCTCGCAAACCAGAACAATCACTTCCAGGTTTATGGGGTTCGGGAGCCAAAACGTCCGAGTTCCAGGGCATTCAGGATCCAAGGTATGACTGCATTTCTATTTTTTTTTTTTACTGAGAGGTTAGAAGATATTACATCAAAGTAAATGAAATCCCACACTTTCCAGGGCATTTCCCCATCACTTTCCATACTGCAAAAAGCCCAGACTTTTTGGGAAGCGAGTTTGTTGCACAAGGCTTTCCAATCAACTG